CTGCATCGCAATATCGTGTTCAACGTAGAAAGCAGTAAGAAGTATGTTCGATGCGCTTTTCTGGACTATACTTCAGCTTTTGATTCTGTACCAAGACAATGTTTACTTAACAAGTTAATCAGCGTCAACACTGACAGCTGGATAACAAATTGGTTATGTTCCTACCTCTTTGTAAGGGACCAGTACACTGTATTTAGAGGAAAGTGTTCAGAGTCTCTACTGTCCCATGAAGGTGTACCACAAGGATCTGTTCTTTCACCATTTCTTTTATCTTTTTTATCCGCATGATCTGCCATCTTCCACAGAAAACACTTCTGAAATATGCGGATGATCTCACTGTATGTATGCCTATTTCTTCCTGTTTACATCCCATAGAAATGAATGGGTTTTTGTCTCGTATTGATTGTTGGTCTGTTGGTAATGGTTTTATACTTAATCTGTCTTAATGTCAAGCTGTTAACTTTAGCATGAGACATGAACGGCATCTAAACACCATTTTGAGATCCCATAATGATTGTGCCATTGGAGACTGATAACCACAGTGTCGAAGGTCAATTATCTTGGTGTTACCTTTTCTTCTGATCTCTCTTGGTCTTCTCACGTTTTATTGTTATCGAAGAAGGTTTTCCGTCTGACTTATTACGTAAAGAGATTGCATACTCTTGGGATTACTCGTTATTTACTCTTACAATTGGTCAATTCTTGCATATTACCTATTATTCTTTACTGTTCTCCATTATTCTTTCCCGGGCTTTTGAGAGAAGACTTTGCTGCTGTATTGCGGAGAGTGCTAAAAGCAGTTAATAATGTGTGTAGTGAATCTTTCGAGGTCATAATTAATATGGTTGTGGATAGACATCTAAAGTCATGCAAACTCTTGACAGGTGTTATTTTATCAGATGCTAACCATCCCCTTCACTCTTATCTTTCTCCTTGTATATCTTCTGGTAGAACGAGACGTAATTACATTAAAATCCAAGCACTCAAGCAAAAGTATAAAATTTCTATAATACCTTACCTAGCAAATATACTATGTGATGAACAGGTTGTTAGAGTTAACCTAGTCAATGACCTGCATTCTTAACATGTCTCTAATTTGAAAATTTGTACAGTCTTTCAGATTGTTTTAAAACATTTTTTGTCTTTGTTTCTTTTTTTTGTGTGTAAGAAACTTGTTGAAATACCCTATGCTGAGAATTCTATATTGTACCAAAATATAATATTGAATAAAGCCATCAATAATAATAATATAAAGTCGTCTAAGGTCACATAATTTTTGTTTATTTTGGCTTTTGCCCTATGCTCGATAATTCTGTACATGACCTTAGTAAACTATGTGACCTTTGGATTTCATAGGTGTTTTACCTGGTCCAAACAAATACATATAGATTTAGTTCACTAATAACGTTTTTGTAATCTTGCTGCAAATTCGAGACTGCTATAACGGGAGAAAATTGTATGAATTATTTACACCCACTGTCGATCGCCCAAGTTGATATAAGTAGATAATGACTAACCAGGAAAACTGTATTGCTATAACATAACTCCCTAGTGAACGGACACAAAAATGACAACTGATTGAGGAAAGTTTTTAGTGAACGCGAATTTTTGTAGGTCTACCAACCAATGGAAACTGAAACTTGTCTATCTGGAGCTCAGTTGCTATCTATCATTTCAGATTTCTTAAAGAAACCGTTCATGGTTTTTATATGAATATCACTCATTTATATTTAATGTAACTTACAATAACTGATATTTGTTGGTTTGTTAAACGAACCACTTGCTATCGGATTTTGGTTTTGTCACTTTGTTATCAGTTGTGACCGCCGATTAGAGAGCAGTGACTTATCGATCAGATCAAAGACGCGTAAAACACGTACGAACAGTCTAGCGTTCTGATTGGTCCTGCTTCCTGTCTAACCTAGCCAGTTAAGTCCAGAATACAAGTCTCAGCCTCTGCAATATGAATCATGTATTTCAAACATACTCAATCAAGCAGACCACAACGTACCAATAAAATATGAAACAACATTTGTACAGGAATTAGCCAGATATGGCTGTGAATAAGGGAGGTAGTAATTAATATACTGGGTATAACTCACGAATGGTAAAACGTATAATAATAGTTTATGGGTCAAAATAAAGCTTATAATAAGAGGAACATGAATATGAATAGTTTAGTTATTTAACAATTATACGATAAAAATATACGTTTAGTATTGGTCCATAAAAAGATCCCAAAGTTACCATTCATTATGTTTCTCGGGTCCTAACACACTTAAATCATAGTTTCCGATAGTCACATTTCAGTTTTATTTCGAACTATGATAGGTGTTTTTTAAAAATTTCAAGTCAAGAAATTCAGTCGATTATTTATGCCTTAACGTTGTATCTTGTCACTGAAAGATCATTCCTTTTTGTATGTAAGTAATCTTTGTGGGAAGTAATATGTTTCTAAATGTGGTACCTTAGGTGGAAAAATACAATTGTCTCCGATCGTGGATCGCATGTAACTTGGTTTTCAGTTTTCAATAGAAAAAGCTTTCGTTCATTTCATATAAGATCAGGGAAGCATAGCAAACTTAAGAAATTTTATTATCTTACTGCTATCTATGTGATAATGATCAGATAAGCTTTTCTAGTTATTTCATAATGTGCTAATCAAGTGAAAAGTTTGTGTTAGCCTTGTAAACCGAAATTGTATTGATAATCATTTTAACTAATAAATGTGTTATTAAAGCCCATAATTTATTCTTTACACTGATTCATAAGTTGAAATACTGACTTTTCGGCTTCGTTACAAATATTGCAACAATAATGTTTTGTATTATTTTCTAGTTATGTGTTGAATTATTCACTTGTTTAGCACCTTACTGAGCCATTTGTATCAGTTCACATGATTTATTTCAAATTTGAACTGTTTGTAAATAATTGTCCACTTTGCCAACACACGTATCATAACGTTGGGAACAGTACTATATTTTGATATTATAATGAAATATATTATCTTTACCTTCGGATTATTTTTTTCTACTCTCTTCAAGCCTGGTTTCACTCCACTACATATTGCTGCTCATTATGGTAACGTGACTGTAGCACGTGTACTTATTGAACGTGGGGCAGATGTAAACTTTCAAGCCAAGGTAGATTATTGTTTTTATATTCATTTCTACAAATTGCTGTTGGTAATAGTTTAAATATTTATAATATCCTGACGTTTTAATTTGTCATTATCGCTGACCAACCTTTCGTAAAATTTGTTTCTGATGAAGATTATTAACTTTCCCCAATTTATTCATTGTTTTGTACATGATATTTCATTTCATTGAAAAAATCCTACTTTTAGATTTGTTTATTGTTTGTCAGTGTTGTGAGATAATTATGTTCCCTTATTTAACTACATACAACAATACACGTACAATAATGATGAAAATACATTTGTTCAGACATCATATATCTTGTTTTCCCCCCTCTCCCTCCGTTTAATACATTTCAAATTCTACCAATGCATATAAATAATTTTTTAGTTTTCATTGTTTCAACAATGGAAAGAGGAAGTCTTAACGATACGCGTACAACCTTATTCATTAGTAGTTTTTACACTTATAATAATACATCCATTGTTAATGAATTCCTACTCACTGCCTTTTTGTGGTGAGGGTGTTGTTTACGAAATAGAGAGGACGAAAAGCAAACGTTCGGCGCTTAAACCGGGTTGGTAGACATGGTGAATCCACCTAGAGGAGTTGGAAAACCGTGATTCCAAACCAGTGGTGCACATGAGTTCCAGGATCCTGATGGAAGAAATGGCGTATGAACCTACTATTGGTCACCGGCTACCATGAAACTGCAATCACTCAGTCAGTCATCTACAACACAAAACCAAGCACATATATGCATCGGTCCAAGTTGCCATACCTCATTAGCACAGCAAGATGAACACCGGATTCATAGAAGTAGTTAATTCAATGGTGGTAATATATAAAAGAAAGATTGCATATAAGGATATAGTAGAAAAAGAAAGAATTAGTTCGTACAAAGAAAGATATGAAGCGATTTTAATCTCATTATTTGAGAGAAGACAGAGAGTGTATACACCTACTCCATTGTGATCGATTCTGAGACATGTCACCCACAGTCTCCAAACATTGGTTACGTTAGTCACACGGACCCCAACCAAGTAGTCTCCATCTACCAACATGGTTCAGACCAGAAGTTAGTGACTTCAATGACTGATGCCACGTTTTCGTTTGGCCGCCCCTAACTTACTTCCAACCGTCACCAACACTGGTTTGCATTGTGCGCCGTGGTGATCGGTGTTCAGGCATACGTAACACGTAGCCCGACCATCTCAGTCAATGAAGATTCACAACCTCATCAACTGATTTACCATCATTCCCTAATACCCTGTATCAAATACTAGTAACTTACGAGTATCTTTTACTCTTATTGGCCGTTTCGCAGCCGTAAATTAGAACAGAACGAACATAGAACTGCATCTTTTGACGTTGCTTCACTGCCTTGTGGATCAGACTTCTATGTCAAAGGCTCAATGTATGGCCCCTAAGGAAACTATCTGCATCAGTTTTTGTGCCCGAATCGTATCTTATCTCTCACACAACATACCTTTCTCTGCAGGAGCAGATGAATTCGTAGAAACACATGGATGTGACAAAACTAGGTATCTTATCTTTTAGTTGAGGAATCACCATAGGTCGTCCAGAGCACGGTAGACAGAGTTTAGCTGTATCAAACGTTTTATTCGTTGCTCTAAACAGTCTATCTCGTAGCACATCTCCATTTATGTCTGCGTCGAGTCATAGCTTCAGGAAGAGCGGTTTCTTACTAACTGTTGACGTCACTATCTTTTTGTTGATTATGTGGAAGGGTTTCTTCAGAAAACCTTGTGGATAATTCATTTCAACCAACATATAAATAAACTAGTTCATTTTTTGGTGTCGTTTGACCATAACTTTTTAGCTCTATTTGCAAAACATCCAACTGGGTTTCTTTTATAACGAAGTGTGTGTATTAGTTTGTGTTCATATTCTGTATATAAGCATTTCATATTATTACACGAAACATCTATTCGCTTGACTGGTCTTGCATTTGATTTCTAATCATTCAAAGGCTTAAATCAATAATACGGCCGCATGAGTATCCATCACTCGACCGCATCATATCAATGCGTTCATCTACCGATTGAAATTCTATTCATCAGTTCAAACAATCGAACATTTTGTTTCATCAAATCATCAAAAATCTCCACCTCCTCCCTTTACATGGTAATAATTCTCAACTAAATTTCAATACTTAGATATTACAGCTTCTTTACCTTTTTATGCCCTTAGCTATTTGAATAACAATCTTGCAACAATGGTTTATTGTTAAAAAAGCATTATTAGTCATTTAAATACATTCACTCATATACTGATTCAGTTTCATTGATTATGAGTTAAAGAATTTGTCATACTGAACAAAATTCAATCAAAATGATACAAACACTTATTGAAGTGAATATACGAGAAATCACATTTTTTTTATTGATACTCAGTCAATATTATGACTTTATGTTTTTCGTTTTTCTTCAATTCTGTCAAGCGGACAGTTATCTTTCATAATCCTGATTCGTAAATTCTTTTCATCCTTCTATTCTGCTGTAACCCCTTGATTATTACGTAACCCCATTTGATACAAAGGTATGTTATAGTGAGCGAAAGCCACATTAAATCAATACATAATCTCACACAATGTTCATTCCTCCCCAATAATTTAATACTCGATAGCTGTGTCGTGAATTGACTGATTTCGGAAATATGACCTGATAGGTGGTCTGTCGTCAAAATATATGTTCCTCACTGGTTTCGAAGGTCTTGCTTTCAATTTCTGATACTGTTATCTCAGCTTTGACTTGATGATTTCATTTCACTTTTGTATTGATGTGGTTTGGCAACTTAGTCCGATACATGTTTTTGTGCCTTTAACTGATGGATAAAATGAGTACCATCGTGACAAGAATTTTAGCTTAATAAGATTTTAAATAAATTCCAGATAGTTCGTGGCTTTTAACTAGATGATATATATGTTGAAATTCTCTTCATAAGTTACATCAATGATTATATAAAATCGTAGTGATTAATTTTAATGTTTATCAAGTCCATAGACTAGCTAAAATTAGATTTGATTAGTTTGAATATTTTGACCATTCATTTTTACGAATTCATTCTGATTATCCAATTTTATTTAGCTGATGTTGGTGTTCTGGTAAGATCACTCAGTCATTTACTAAATAAAGTTTCGTATCGAACTTTGAACCAAACTAATTGTGATAATACTTACGAATTACGGATCATTGTTGAACAATCAGTTGAATGGAACTCGTCATCATAAATCAAAGTCCTTGACTATAAAAAAAACGTTTGACAGCGTAGGCAGGAGGACCTTATTAATTCCTCTTCGACACCATGGTGCACCTGAGAAGATCAACACCATCATGCGGAATTCTTACGACGAACTACACTGTAAAGTCGTGCACGGAGGACAGATTGCAGGTGCATTCCAATTGAGGATCAGTGTCAGACAAGGCTGTTAAAACTCGTATTTTCACTTCTGATGGTTGACTGGATTATGAAGATCTCGACATCTAAGGTGAAGCATGGAATACAATGGACAACTTGGATGCAACTAGACGATTTGAACTTCACTGATGACCTAGCTCCTCTATCTCATACACAGCAACAGAAGCATGTGAACACACTGAGTGTAGCAGCAGCCTATTCAGCAGTAGGTCTTAACATTCACAAGGGAAAAGCAAGATGATGAAATACAACACCAATACAGCACCAACTAAAGCACAATTTATGAAGAAGTTGTAGACATGTAAACTTCTGAGTACCTTGTCAGCATCATCGATAAACAAGAGGATCTGATGCAGTTTTGAATCCAAGTACCGGAGAGTAGAGGACAAAGTACGTTGGAGAAACCTGGTCGGCGGCTTTTGCTACTCAACGTGGGTTAATAGGCGTATGTAAAAGTGAAGTGAATTATAGTACTTAAAATAGAGTTTAAACTCATTACCTAGTGTTGAATCTAGAGTAACGTATCCTCTAGAGTATTAGTGTAGAAAAGCATTTGCTAGTTTTGTCTGTACCTGGACGCTGTAGAAAAATACACTTCCTTTTACTGTGTGTTTGTATTCAGTTGAAAATGTTGACAGTAAATATGAAAACCTAAAATTGTGATAACTGACTTTTTGGAAAGTTTTTCTCGCGTTCAAACTCGTCATAGGTTTTTTATGTCTTTTTGTTATTGATAGAATAATATCACACCATTACATGTGGCTGCTAAATGGGGTCGTGGTGGAATGGTCCAACTACTTTTGAATTCGAATGCCTTAGTTGATTGTCGTACACGTGATGGTTTGACGCCATTACATTGTGCTGCTAGATCTGGTCATGCAGAATTAGCTTCACTGTTGATGGGTGCTGGTGCAAATCCTTCAGCTAAAACAAGGGTATGTTATCATTATCTCTATAAACCTTTGATGTGAAACAAGTCGTCGTTGAACTATTTATGTCGACCATCTGAGTTCGCCCTTACTGGTGACAGCAACATGGAATCACACAACCATTTTATTTCGGCCTATCCGTAATGTATATTAAGTATTAATTCTACTGAAGAGTTGGTGACTCGACTCAGTCTACGTTATTTTATTGGTCATTGCTGTGACATGATCAATTGATTCAGAAAATAATTTACTTATAACGTCTGAAAGGGCCACTTCTAATCTCTAATGTCTTTAATCACTGCATTACGCTGAAGAATAGAAAAAAGAAAATACTGATTGGTGATGACTCAATTGCTAGAGTCTGTAAGACGAAAATACTTTTTTGCTTGTGTTATGTTACGTGATAGGCATTCTATCAAATTAAATCTTATTTAATGTGAATTATTACATCTGTAGAAACTGGTGTGATTAAAAACTATGGATGACCTTAGGGTGGCGCCAAAGTGATCATGAGAATGTCCACCTATTAACTAGGACTAAATGAGGGTTATAAACCAATGTGAGGGATTAGAATCAGGATTGACAGTTTATGGTTAAGGTTTTCATCACAATCTGACAGCTAAAATGCCAAAACGCTTTTTAGCCATGTAGATGAATCGATTTCGCACCAAAATCGAAATCTGCTTTTTTATATCTGATTAGTTCGTCCATAAATTATAGTCTCGTCGTAGTAGTGGTAGTAGTAATAATAGCAGTGTGTGTTAGTGTTTTTAATGCAATGATTTTTTATTAACACTTCTCACAACTGTGTGTTGTTTCTTAACCACCGGAACGTATCGTCGACGCTGCCTGTTCTAATCTGTCTAAGATACTATGTTGTTGATATTAACACTGAATACCTCATTTCAGATACAAGGATATTAAAATAAATTAGCCATTTGAAACTTTAAACTCAGTAAATGTTGTGTACATAGGAGGATTAATTTTCATTGGATGTTTTATTGCACCATAGAATGCGTTCATCGGTGATTTGTAATAATCCTTGTTCATCCATATAACAGTCATGATTTATATTATTAGGAAAGTCAATGTAGGATCAACTTCGCTAAATATTGATTCAATGGATCAGCGATTTTAATAGTACATATGGTTTTAACCATGTTGCTCAACGATTCGGTTCAGTTGTGTAGTTTGTACATAAAAATTGTAAAAGGTTAAATTCACCATCAAGAGCTAAAGAATCTATCTTTAATTTTTTTGTAGCAAACAGACGGATTATTTATTAGGATATTTTGATGTAGGACATATCAACTAAGTAGCTTGGTGGATAAATAAATGCAGATTCAATAATTGTAAAGCAGATTCAAAATCTGGTCCTTCTTTTTTACTTTCGGCAACTTCATGTTGTGGCACTCATGCTATACATATCGAATGATGGATCAATTTTTATTGCTTACATAAAATTTCTCAAAAAATGTGACTTCAATGTTAAATGACGGCAGATTGTGTCTTGTATCAAGTAATAGACTCTTTATTCTATTTTATCAACGCGTTAAGCTTGATTTTTCTCCATCAGTCTTCGTGAATAGATATTGGCTTTTATTTGGAGTAGTTATCTTGAATTGTTTCAATTTTTACTTCGTAATCTTGAAAAAAAGTTCAGCTAGTGATTTTTGCAGTTATGTTTTCAGATCAAATCGGCTTCTCAATGACTATATAAGTGAATTTTACGTATTATCTACAATTTTCATATTAATCTAAGGCTGTTACTGAATCTAAAAAAGTCAGTTTGACAGTGTTACATAATTTTCTTAGGTATTAATCATACAATAAACAAATTCCATGAAATTGTCAGATCAAATCTCTCGACTTACTTTGTTCTAAATCACTTGGGTTGTTTATTTATCTGTGTAATCATTCCATTAATATTATTTCATCTATACTAGAATGGATTAACTCCATTGCATATGGCAGCACAAGGTAATAATGAAGAAGTTGCTCGTGTATTGATTCTGCGTGGTGCTAGTGTAGCTGATAGAACAGGAGTAAGTTATTGTTGTTGTTACTGTGTTTGTTATTCTCCTATATAGTTAAAATGTTTGTCATTAATAACAAGAATGTTAATTATATTTATTGTTTCAACATGTCTTTACAAACTATCTATTTTATGTAAGGCAATATAGAGATTTTCATTGGAAACTGCAAATGAATGCCAAAAAGAAATATTCTGAATTGATTTTACCAAGTTATCAATTAAGTGTTTTTGTTAGATTTTTGACTTCATTGAAAAGTCAATGCATTATTTTTGTCTCACACTTTTTTAAATATATCTTTTTGATGCAATGAATTTGAACATTTTTTGTGTATGGGGATATTTAAAAAAGTTATCGTTTTACATTCAATCGATTTCTTTCTTTGGATCGGTAATAGGTCAGAAAGCAATTAGTGATTATGTCGTGATATTTATTTAAAAATGTGTTTTTTTAAAGCTCATCTGACAGATGTGGTTTTGTGCACTTGATTTCTAGATACACTTTATTTGTGAAGGCTAGTGATACAACCCGGTCGTCCAATTGAAGTGAATGGGACCCACTTCGAACATGTAACCAAATGACTGACGGCTAAACGCCTTAACTACTAAGTTATCAGACTATTATTTTTCAAAAACGACATATATGCTTGTTTTAGTCCACACAAGTGTTTTTTTCAAAGGATGTAGTTTCGGCTGCTGTGTTAAACCCAAACAGCTTATTCTAGCTTCCGGACAAGCCAATTTATTCATTCTTCTTGAGTCACATTTTGAACTTGTTAATTATCTACCTGTCAACCTAAACTGTCTCTATATAAGTATATGTATCTTACTCATTGCATGTCTTTAACTTATTTTTTTGTGACTATAAATATCGATTCACGCTTGGCTAAATCGAGTTGGCTCACATGCCATCTCCACCCACGTGTCATTCCTCTTCGTCCTCTTCACTGCGCTTTCTGTGCTTCGATTTTTCGATCGTTTGTCTGGATTAACGATTGTATGAAATACGCTTATTTGAAACTCATTCTCGTACTTGACTTATTAAATTTCATTATATAGTAATGCGAGTTAAGTCGATGATTATATACAAGAATAGTCAGGATGTATATATTGATATCGATTATTTGATAGCAATCTGAAACGATCCCAATGGAGTCATATATATGGCTGCTAAAGTGGTGATCCCGTTTACAACATTGCCCCATCTAATTGGTGTCAAAATAACGGGTCATTAAAGGGATGTGCCTATGAAGTTGTGGTAATGTTTTATTGATCGCCTTTGTACGCACGATAACTTAATGCCAGTTTTATTGTTGCCAATATGTAAATGTTAATTTTGAGTGATTCCTATATAACTTTTCAATGAGTCTTTAATGAAGACGTAGTGGAAGGAGTAAATTTTGTTGCTTCGGTATTGTTTTAAAAAAATATTATTTATATTGTCAACTAAATGACTGAATCTAGTCCATTATGACTAGTTTTCATATGAAATCAAACCAATTGGTTTGGGGATACTATACTTTTCAGACTTCACGGATTGACTGTATTTTTGGCATGGTCTTCACTAACTTTCTTACAATCTAGCCCAATATCAACAAACATTATTTATTAATGTAGGGAGTGGATTGGTATACGCAACGCATGTCTTAACTACATCGGTGTATGAAGTTACACAACTTCATCAACTGGTTCGCCAGTTTACTCGACATTGATTGTCTATTTGGGACTTCTGCTTGACGATTTTCATCACTATCACTGCATCATTTTGACTTCTTGTAAAATTAATGAATGCTGAATTTATTTCATACTTAACATCACAACCCCACAGACTATTAAACTCAAGATCTTTGGGCTTCTCAAAGAGTGCTTGACTATTAAACAGAAATCCAATCGTTTGGATGTTTAGCTTCAACTCATGATAGTACACAACTCTCTTTCAACTTTTTTGTGGTGATATAGACTTGTAGCTTTCAACGGTTATGTATTGTGTGAGCTAAATGGTTCATTCGCTGAGTTTTTCATTTTCATTTTGAGCTACATCATCAGCGCATAATTCAGATCACTAAAGCTGGTGAAATATTTTTTTCCCTTCAAAATTTTGTAATTTCTCTTTTGCAATGAATGAATTCGATGTTAAATATTTAAGGAAATTCAAATTAGTCAGTCACATAAAACATAAACCCCGCTACATATTATCCATCCGTTTAAGTTATTTACACCATATCAACACAGTGAGATGAAATTATTAAAACAAATCTAGCATCTCCCCATCAGTGATCTCAGAATACTGCAGCGATGCTCGAGGACATCTTTGGTTGAATACTGGTTGGACATGAATAATATCTACTCTCGATGACCGTGTTTCACACCCATAAATTAGAATGGAGCGAACTTCTGTAGAATAAACTCGTCCTTCGGTTAACAGAAGTACATCTGCCCCACGCCACTGATGATGCAAGTTGGCGATGGGAAACTTAGCTTTATGAACCCGTGTTGAGATTTCACCAGACATCAACCTATCAATGCTGAAGAGGCTTCTAAAACAAATGAAGTGGTCGACCCATTCAGTTGGTTCACTCTCTATAATTAATTCACTTGTTGAGTCAGGCCAATCCGAAAGCAGCATTTTGTAGTTAAGTGGAAAGAGTATCATCTCAAGCATCTTGGATCGGGACTTAGGTCCGTTGAACTCTTTGGTGCCCTCACAAAACAGGACTATGTCATATACGTATTCTAATTCAGTAAGTGAATCTTCTATTAGGAAATCAGCCCTTACAAAGGTAAACGATAAAAAGCGTTAATTCCAAAGGAGTATCTATGGGGAAGATTAGTAAAAATGAAGTAAAACGGACATCCTTGATTAATACCACTTGAGGTTGACAGTTTCGATGACCGTTCACTATAAGTTCTTACTTTTTTCGTTGTGTTGGAGTAGAGAACTTAAACAAGGTTGATATATTTCCTTGGTACGACACTGTCACAGGTCTTTTTGATTAACAGAGTCGAACCCTGTTTTAACGTCAGACAGTTCACCTAATTCGAGCATCCGTAAGTATGCAGGTGTTCTAAAACCTGAAGAAAACTAAATATTTGGTCTATATATCTGTGTCCAGGCAGGAAATCAGCCTACTTTTCTGGTGTTCACTGTTTACGAGCCTTAGCTGAGTGTCGAATGATTATTGAACCTAATATTTCACATACTGTGTTAGTAAAACTAATTTTTGTGGTTGACACGAGTAGATTCTTATCCTTAATGTTAAGCTGGGAGAATCAGTGATTAAGACCAGTCAAATGGGATTAGGTCTTTCCCACACTTTAGTTATGATCCAAGTCAATTCAAAACGTAAGACTCGATCACCATTCTTAAGAATCCTATTTGTTAATTCATCAGGGCCCTCTTTCCACTTTCGTCATAGATCTGACAGGACCTTTATATTTATGTAGTTTTAAGGGGTTCATCTCGATCTTCCTTTCTGTTTATTTTGAAATAGTGGCTAAATAAAAGGTAGATGGAAGCCTGTAGAACTGTTGTTTAAAATGCTTTGCTGATTAATCATCTTCAATTCTATGATAAATTACATCTATTTCTAGCACTGGCGTAATTTATTTGAATCCTGAACGATAAAACAAGCATAATTTTCATAATTTAGTAATTCACTTATTCACATCACTATTTTAAATTTCAAAGGACGAGTATACTGCGTAGCGGTTCGTTCTGTGAAACGGCCAGAAAGGGTAAAGGATACCCTTAGTTTACTAGTACTTGATCACAGATGTCTTAGAAATATTGCTCAAATCTGCTGGGATTACCGAGTAAGTAATAGTGAGGTTAGACGCAGGGTATTAGGGAATGATGGTAAATCAGTTGATGAGGTTGTGAATCTTCATTGACTGAGATGGTCGGGCTACGTGTTACGTGCTTGAACACCGATCACCACGGCGCACAATGCAAACCAGTGTTGGTGACGGTTGGAAGTAAGTTAGGGGCGGCCAAACGAAAACGTGGCATCAGTCATTGAAGTCACTAACTTCTGGTCTGAACCATGTTGGTAGATGGAGACTACTTGGTTTGGGTCCGTGTGACTAACGTAACCAATGTTTGGAGACTGTGGGTGACATGTCTCAGAATCGATCACAATGGAGTAGGTGTATACACTCTCTGTCTTCTCTCAAATAATGAGATTAAAATCGCTTCATATCTTTCTTTGTACGAACTAATTCTTTCTTTTTCTACTATATCCTTATATGCAATCTTTCTTTTATATATTACCACCATTGAATTAACTACTTCTATGAATCCGGTGTTCATCTTGCTGTGCTAATGAGGTATGGCAACTTGGACCGATGCATATATGTGCTTGGTCCTGTGTTGTAGATGACTGACGGAGTCGATTAGTAATAATAGTCTGACTAATCATGAGAAATACATATACATGTTTATCTATGTATATACTATTGGTTTTTTAGTTAAAATTTTAATAGCACCCACTTCTTTACAGCGTATTAAAAATATAAGAAAACATGTTGATTAAAAACACTTTGTGTATGTTACATATTCCACGCTGATAATAATGTCTGTATTTTTTTAAATAAAGAGTAATTTATTTACCAAAATTACTTGTAATTAATGACTTCCATAATGATGACTGTCAATTTGTAATTAAATTTTAATTTATAGTTTGTTACGCTGTAAAAAAAATACATCACTAAACAATTTGTTCAGTCTTTTAGATGAACATTTAGCGATTAGACAATGTTCATCAGGAATTAGACTAATTGAACCAGTTTTTTTGTTTATTTTTAGATATATTGGTGAATTCTAAGATAGATAATTTTCAACTTCTTTTGATGCATCTGATTGAACCGAATGCTTGCGTGTTTATTAAACTGTTTTGTTTATGGTCAATTAATGAGGCTTTATGCATAAAAGGGACATTCTTGTGAACTCACTGGTTAAATTTACCGCGAGTGGTAGTCACGTTAGAATATGTAGTCCCATGACGGCGTGTAACCAACAATAGGTTCATATGCCATCTGTTCCTTCAGGGGCGTGGAGCCCATGTGTATAATTGGTGTTTCCATCTTCCCAAAGTGGGTTCTCCGTACTCACCAACCTGGTTAAAGTCCCGGTCATTCGCTTTTCGTCCTCTTAGTTTTGTGAACAACACCCTCGACACGAGAATGCAGTGAGAAGGGCTTCCTTAAGTGTGGTTGTGTACGCGTGAACATAGAGAGTATTTCGGGTGGGAGAGTGAACTCTCCCCAACCTCGGTCATTCCGGGGCATTTGGAAACTGCATTTTTTATCGCGAATAATAAGTGCCGACATGTATAATATTAGAGTGTTTTTTCGAGATTAAGTCAAGTAGCTATAATTACCTAGTAGAAAGATTATATAGCAACATTTACTATAACGAAAGGTGACTTACGAATACCATGACCCAGTTGCTGAATAAATTTACATAATAGATATATAGGTTTATTTTACCAAAAATAGTTCTCTTTTTAATTTTTTGCTTTTCTCCGACATAAATTTTTGCCAATACCTACCATGATTTTAACTACAAGTTAAGAACCAACATGTATATTATATCAATCAATCCATGAGTCCAGAGACTTTTAAATTTAAGTGTATTAGTGTAAAACACACTGAACTGTGTAAATCATCAATTTGGTTTTTATTAAAACTTTTTTTGTTCTTTTTCACCTCTTAATTTTTCCTTTAGGATTCTTTGACCCCACTACATGTGGCTGCTCATTGTGGTAATACAGAAGTGGCACGTGTACTCTTAGACAATGGATGTGATGTGAATGCACGTGCTTTGGTAGGCTTTTCATTTTATGTAACACTGATTTACTACAATTTACTTTCACGCATACTTTTCTCTAGAATGTAAATGGTAGATACGTTTAGTTTTCTTTTGTATATTTCCACTTTTCCTAAATTATGAACAGTAATAAACACTTCGGATCTGTGACCTGATATAATGATCAAGAATTAAACTACACATATGAATTCATCGCTGTGTGAGTAGTAAATTAGCTGACATTCTTCAATCGTTTATGATATTTGACAATCGTGTTTATTCCTATGTGTAATTCTTTGTATATCAGGGTACTATTCTATTTGAATAAAAAAACTTACTCCTCCGGCCAGTGATCTGGTTTTTGTTACCAGTTCATTTGTACTGTTATGTCAGTAATCCGGTTTAATAAATAATTATCATTCATCTTTATCGTATCACTGCATTTATCTTTCGTCTAAGATTCTATTTATTTATTTTAGCAATTAAAAACAATAGTCTTTAATCCTAAACTAAATTATAGCTAATTGTAAAACTTTGAGACCTGTTTCATTCTACTATATTTGGAATATCCTCAATGGTGATGTTTACATCGGCCCTTCAAATCACAGTACGTAAATATCTCTTAAAGCATCAATAAGTTAACCAGTAGTCTAATAAAAATTTCAAATAACTACTAATATTACTTGAAGAAAGTTTATTCACAAAATAACTGTTCAGTGACCAAGCTCATTTTTACGTAAACTATTCTGTTGTTTTTATTGTTTTAAGGTTATTGATTTCATCAAATTTATTATAGTTTAATGAAATAAAACATTGAATCAGATTCTAGGTCCTGTGTTCGATTCACACGTGCGGGGTCGTGGATGCCTACTGCTGAGGAATTCCATGCTAGGACGAATTAGCTGTCCAGTGCTTCTAGAATTTCAATGGTAGTTCAGCTTAGATTGACTCATGAATTCAACTATGAAATTACTACAATGTCCACAAATCCCCATACTGATCATATTTGTTTGTTTATCACTTTGTTCGGGTCTAATTTTCATATCATGTTTACAAGCTTTATATGTATACTTACTTTTTACTTCTACTATATTGATTTTATTTATTCATTTATATGTATTTCGTATTTTTTACAGAATGGTTTTACTCCATTGCATATTGCTTGTAAGAAACAAAAAATTCGAGTTATTGAACTACTTCTTCAGTATGGTGCACAAATCAATATGACTACTGAAGTAAGTTCTGTTCCATTATCATCGTATATTAGATTAATATAAGTTATTCCATTCAATAAGATGATAATGATTGAACGTTGAAAATATTATACAAAAGTACAATGAAAAAATGTACATGATGGGATGCTAAATAATCAAGATGAAAAATATGAATGCATTTGAGCTAATGTGATTTTAAACCACGTCAATCAACGTATCCAACTATGTATCGTGTTTATTGCACTAGTCCAACAATCTATCACTTAATGAATTGATCTCATGTTTTTATTTGGTCACAACTGTCAATCATTTATCATCATAGTACCTAACGAAGATGTGTACTCTATACTTAGTGTAATAATGGTATTGCGTAGAAATAGGAAATCGGCAATCAATGAGCTTCAATAAATGCATTTCAAATATAAATACACTAAGCATCGTTTGTATTCAGTTTATAGATTCATTTTAATCTGTAGACTTCATGACATTTTAAACTGCATGGTTCAGTAATCTTTAGAATAACTTTCAGTGGTTTGATCGAAATTTGTAGTTTTTCATACAATGCTTTATTTGCCAATTCTGGGATTAAATAGAAAACGAAAGATAGTCTGTTTATAATCTTATGTCTTATGGAATGAAAGGAAACTATTTAATTATTAAACGTCGTTTAATCACGAGTTCGTTATACTCGAATAATCACTTATCTAATATATTATTGCCATCATTCAGTTAGCTAACGATATACGCACTATTTCTGACGGTTATTGACGACATCTGGACACTTTAGATACGTGTTCCTGTAAAGTTTTGCAGTCGTACTTTACACTTCGATTGTAAGAAGTACGTATTTTCATATATTACATTGATTCCTAACTGATTGAGTAGATAGCTGAACAATTTTCTTGCCACTGTAATACACTAAAACAGTATCTCTTCATCATTACTGGAATTTGGCAGCAATACACACATATACATGTTGGGTTATGTCGACCTTCAACTAAGCAAACACGCATAACACATTTGCAAGTCAGTGAAACCGACTGTTAGCGAAACACTCTCAGAGAAAGATGGACATATTATACATCCAGGAGATTGGATCGATGGGCAGAACACTTTAGGGATCAGTTCAACTGACCTCCAGCCACACTTCGATTTCCCACGATCTCCAGTCAATCTGAATGGCAAGTCAATGTAGGTTCTCCGTCTCTTTACGAAATTGAAAAAGCCATAGGAAATCTGAAGCGAGGGAGAGCAGCAGGCCCTGACAGGTTTACTCCTGAGATTTTTAAGGATGGTGGTTCAGTACTAGCAGTGAGATTAACTGAGATCTTAGGTAGAATTTGGGAACTGGACGTCATCCCATCTGACTAGTCTCAATCACTGATTGTGCCAGTCTATAAGAAAGGACGAAAGCCGTCTTGTGACAATCACAGAGGAATCAGTTTGACAAATATAGTGTCTAAAATATTAGCTTCAATAATACTTCGACGCCTAACCAAAGCTCGTGAGAACAGACTATAGAAAACCAGGCTGGTTTTCGACCTGGACGTGGTTGTATAGATCAGATATTCACACTATGTCAAGTTCTAGGACATAGACACACGTTCAGACTCCCCACAATGGTAGTATTTCTCAACCTTAAGGCGGCATTTGACTGTTGATCGTGATGTTCTATGGCAGTGTTTGTCACTGAAAGGAGTACCAAAGAAGTACATTAACCTTATTCAGGCTCTCTACTCGAATACAACTCGTAGAGTGAGAGCTTATGGCGAACTGTCATCAGAATTGATTACATCAAGTGGTGTTCGTCAGGGCTGTCCACTCTCTCCATTCTTGTTCAACTTTGTCATTGACGTACTTTTAGAGATAACACTTTCCTCGTCTAGATTTCCAGGGGTTGAACTTCTACCGGGAGGTTCACTTGTTGACTTGGAATATGCCGACGACATAGTTCTATTTGGTGAAGACGCTGACAAAATGCAGAGTTTTCTGACCACTCTAAGCAACAATGCAAGCATGTTCGGAATGCGGTTCTCCCCTTCGAAATGCAAAATGTTGCTTCAGGATTGGGTTGTATTGACACCCGAACTAATGATAGCGAGTGAAGTAATTGAGCGTATCGACAGCTTCCCTTATATTGGAAGTCTCATCAGCCCTTGTGGTGTGGTGTGTGACGAAATCTCAGCACGGATACAGAAGGCTCGATTAGGTTTTGCCAACTTGCGTCATTTATGGCGTAGGCGAGTTATCCGTCTATCAACCAAAGGACGAATTTACTGCGCAGCAGTTCGTTCCGTATTACTTTATGGCAGTGAAACATGGCCGGTAAGAGTAGAGGATATTCGTAGGTTACTAGTATTCGATCATAGATGTCTTCGAAACATTGCTCATATATCATGGGACTATCGATTAAGTAACTCAGTTGTTAGGAAATGGGTACTAGGTAAGGATGGCAAATCAATTGATGACGCATTGAAACTACATCAGTTGAGATGGCTCAAAATCGTTTGCAATGGCGCAGGTGCATCCACTCTTTGTGTTCTCCCACATTCTAATCTTCTGACTTCTTCATATCCTTTTTTTCTCTGCAAATTTATTTCACTGGATTATACTCCTTGAATAACATCTTCAAACCCCTGATTACGGCTTATAATTTTACTACATCTAGCACCACAGGATTTGAACCGACCACTGCATCTCTGTGCTAATGTGGTGTGGCAACTCGAACTGATGTACGTACGTACGAAGCTCTACTTTGTAACTGACTGACTGACAAGTCAGTGAATCGAAATGTAGTGGTTTACATTTACTGATTTGTTGTGAATGTAACATGAATTAGTAACAAATATGATTTCAATGTTTTCATTAAAATATATATATATCTGTTGTCTGTATACTATTTTTTTCTTTAAATAATTCATTTTATTGCCACGTTCACAGTTAATAAAAGCTTCACTTCTTTACATTCAAACTCATCTATCATGGTTAATTAGGAGATTGAAGACTCTTGGCAGGCAGTCCTGAACATAATCTGTTATTCACTTTAATATGCATAACTGAGGTAGCCGTTCTGTCTCTCTGTGTTGATAAGTAGGTCACATACTGAGGATCGATCACAATGGCACAAAGGCATCCACTTTTTTGTATTCCGTTAAATCTTGACTTTAGAAACTACTTAAGCATTTATGTTACAAGTTCATTCTCCTATATCTAATCTATTCTACTACTATTGATACTGCTTCTACATTTAATACACTGGGATTTGCCCTGATATTTTCATCTCGTTTTACCTATATATTATTGTGTGGCAACGTAATCCGATACATGTACTTAGTAGGTTCCATGTTACTTATGACTGACTCTTTGATCAACTCTGCTTATAAGTCGCTTATACGTAATTCCTTTTTTGAACAAGAACATATTACCTTTGCTGATTAATCTAGTTAAATGTCGCTATAAAGGTCACAATAAATTATGAATCTGTTGATTTGTTTATAACACTAACTCGATTGATTTTTTTAAAAAAGTAACTTGTTTTTTGAATTACTTTACAATGATTTAACATAGTCTGGCCTATCTCCATTACATGTGGCAGCATTTATTGGTGGTCCAGAAATTGTTCAGTTATTAATACAACATGGTGCACATGTGAATCAAGCTACAATGCGTTGTGAAACAGCATTACATTTAGCTGTACGTAATCGACAAGTTAGTGTTGCTGAAACACTTATCTATCATGGTGCATCGGTAAATGCTAAAGCTAGAGTAAGTAATGCCAACACATTTTTATATTAGGTTTGGTTACTATAACCTTATGTTACATTATCTTTATTATGATATTACTAGTTATTGTGTTTTTGATGCTAGTTGTTTGGCGAAAGTTAACAAAAAAGTGTGAACTTAGGTTTTGTGGTTTTCGGGACTGCTTTTCCCTCGTGGATTCGAACCCAGGTTACCCAACTTGATAATCTGAAACGTTAGCATTTAGCTACGACTGACTTCTTGTAGAACTGTGATATTTATAATTGATTAATAACTGTGGTGATCAATATCATTTTTACCCGGTCTTTTAGTGTTAGTCGGATCCCGTTGACCAAGTTGTTATGTAGTTGCCAGTCTAAATAACTCGACAGGATATGGACTATTTTGGAATGTTTGTTGGTTTGAGGTAGTCAGAAGAAACCCTGAATGTGATCTGGTTAGTGTCTATATCTGAAATGTAGCGAAGTAAAGTTTTCCAAATTTTGCATTTTTACTGCTTCTATATTGTAAAGTAATGCTTTGGCAATAACTATTTTCGATAACCTCTTTGGTTGTTACGTCAGGAACATTATCATATAGCATTGTTAATAAAAGTATATACGTTTAATCATCTGAGTAATTCATGGATGGATGTTTTTTCGTTAATTATTTAAGCGTGTGTTTTGCGTGTATCTCTGGTTTATGATAGGGTTGTCAACGGACCACTCTTCGTTTTTCCTTTTAAGTCAAGATACGTGAAGAGCTCATCAATGTTATTCCTAATTTTCATTTGTTTCCTAAAAATAAACTCATGATATTAACTATCAATGCCAAGGTTAGATATGATAGTTTAAAAAAATTGAACAGTGTTAGAAAGTTGATAATAAATATATTTTTTGTTATATCCCAATGTGTAAAAATTGTATTTCTGACGTTTCGTGATTTTATGTCAGCCAGTTCATCAGAGTAAAGAAAAAACCGAATTTAATTAACACAATTTTAAATAGTCCTTTCCTCTCTTTTCTTTATTCACTTTTTACGCACGATCTTCCTCAGAAAACTTTTGTTACATTTGCGGTTGGTCTCACCGTATGCACATAGATTTCTACCGCTTTACTTCACCCTTTTAAAATGAGTTTTTACCTCTCATTGAACGACACTCTGTATTAATGATCTCACACTTAATTCTTCTGAATATCAAACTGTTAACCTTAGCCTGGGACATTAACAACACTTGAACATACTATCGGGTTCCCCAAAAGTTTATAATATCGGAGATTTTTGTACTAAAAGCGGTTTCAGGGGTAATTTATCTTGGTGTAAACTTGTCCTCCGATCTCTCTTGATCTTCTCATATTTTATTGATATCTAAGAAAGTTTCCCGTCTAACGTACTATGAAAATAGACCATATGTTTTGGCATTACTCAAAATTTACTCTCACGATTTGTAAATTCTTGCATATTACCCATTATTCTTTCTCGGACTTTTCAGAAAAGATTTCGCTGTATTACGGAGAGTGCTAAAGTCAGTTAGCATGGTGTGTGTTAACTCTTTTGAGGTTGTTATGGATATAGTTGTGTATAGACATTTAAAATCTTGCAAATTTCTAGCGGGTGTTATCTTATCAGATACTAATGTTCGACCTCATTCATATCTTTCTCGTTTTATATCTTCTGGTTGGAAGAGTCGTCAATACATTAAAATCTATGCACGCAAGCAAACGTATAAAAGTTCTACCATGCCTTATTTAGCAAGTATACTATATGACGAACATGTTGTTAGAGTTGACCTAGTCAATAACTTGTCTTCTCAAATATGTTGCTAATTGAAAATTGTATAGATTCAAATCTACCTAAAAAACCTTTCATTTAATCCCAGGTAGTTTATTAACTTAATTTATGTGTATATGTGTGCAGTTATCTTATTTTTTTCGTTTTGCAAAAGAAACTTGTTGAAATACTCTTTTCTGAGAATTCTATATTGTACTAAGTATATCATATTGAAGTAAGTCAATAATAGTGATTTTAATCTTAGTCTTATTATGACATAAATAAATTTGTGTGATCTCTGGAAATTTATCCTATCCTAATTAGATTAACTGTCCTAATCCTTAAATTTCTTCCGCTCATGTTGTGGTAATAAATGGCGTATGAACCAATCGTTGGTCACCGGCTACCATGGGACTACATGTCCTTACGATGCTCCACTGCCTTGTGGATCAGACCTTCAGGTTGAGGGGCCCGGGTGTGGCCCCCTAAGAAAACCACCTGCTTTGGTTTAGGCACATTGGCAGTATCACAACCCTCACACATATCAAATGAGATCTGTGTGGCCCATATGTATTTGGTGTCCTCTTGTATCTATGTGTTAAAATAAAAAAAGAATCGCAATTAAGTGGTCTAAAGTTCAAACCCTAGCGTAGAAACCTGAAGGGTTGGGTATATTGTTTGCTTTGTCTATTGTTTCTTTAACGAAGACTTTGATAAATGAATGATGTAAAATTTGAGACAAACAAGGAAACATTGTACAGTTGAAGTAGTAATAATAATCTCATTTGTATCAAATATACATTTGATGCACATGATTAAGATGATTCAGATCAATAGGGTTTCATATAATAGGTATCATTATCAGGGTTAAACTTGATAATTTGAACAAATTGAGCATTGGGTAGCTTGCTATAAATAAAATAATATATTTGTCATATCCCAATTAGTAGAAAATCTAATTTTTCTACTCACTGGGATATTAAAAATATATTAGTTTATTTATAAGGTTTCATATAGGTTGAAACAAATGATCATTGCTGTACAACATATACTCTAAGGATTTCTCAACTCACCCCAAAGATATAACACTGTATCCAGAATTTCCTACTTACCGCCTCTAACCAGTTGCCTCGCATTTAAACCCACTATATGATTGTCGCTACCTTCATTTCCGATGCATTTTTAATATTCTTGTAAATTCATACCATTAGATAATTCTTCTACTTTAATCTCATGATTCGCTGACATGAAATGTTTGTAGTCAGATTAATTATTCCTCAATCCACACACTGATTTTAACTCACTGTTAAATATGATCCCTTAAGCATACTTATGATCATTTATCTTGTATAAGCATATTTTAGCTTCACTAATTTGTTTTTGACGTGAGTTACAATCTTTGATTAGTCGAATTACTATTCTCATTGTAATATACTACGTACATCTATACAGTGTATACCTATCCACTTTTTATCCCAAATGCTTTATTTAATTGGGCAATTGTTTTTTTCAAATCCTGGTCGACATCTTGACTCTTTTGATGCTTTGATAAAAATTTTTTCCTTGATTTATATACAGGAATTTTTGGAAAATTTAGCTATATATTCTTTCTTTGAACCAAATTATAAATTTATACGAATACAGAATATACTTGTCGTGATCAGTTTTGTTATTGTTAAAGTGGTCGTTCAATGTTTCATTCATAAAAGACTACAGTATACATTGATTAAAAGATGTGATTGGAAGTTATAGGCTTCTCTCATCAATCGAAGATGGCTTTAAATTACAATGAATAATAACGTGTTATAATTTACATATACCTTAGTCAATGAACTCGATTCTGAAAAAGAACCACAGCAAGCAAACATAAACTGTTCAGTATGATGTTTAACATTGCTGCGTATGTGTGTGTTGAAATAGAGATAGTATAAAGAAGAGGCTGATATCATAAATACTGGTTGTGAAGCGAAAGGGGAAAAAAATTAACAAATGAGTGATTGTGTAATCATATTGCCTAGTCTTTCATGTCATTACCGTTATCAAAAAATAAGCGATCGATTGCAAAGTAGATAGGATCAAGGTAAATGGTTATAAAACGCTTTTTCAGGATGAAATCACTTATCTCACACCTTATCCCGTATTCATGATGATGTAGATGAAAATGTTTTATTCCGAATAAATTAGTCTTTGTATTGTTTTGTTTACTAATTATGCTTTAGTTTGAATAATTCTATGTGATACCATGGAGTAATAGAGTTGCATAATTTGGCTGATTGAATTGGGGATTATAAACACAGCTTTGGTCCTTGTTGACTTTCTAAAGGGAGCTGATGGTCCTTATGGAATTATAGTTCCCCCAGTATTGCAGTCATGGGTATTGCTATGAAATTTGGGCTGCGACAGATCTCTTCTAACTGTGGGTGGAAATCGATAAAGTGCTTATTCAATTGCAAACAAATGTCTCTGACTGTGACACTGGGAGAATCTAACAGGGAGCATCAGCTGTCTAAAAATTTTATGTCCATCTAAAGAGATACAATCTTCTCATTTTTAGTAGTAATAAGAATAACTCCATTTGTAAACCGTTTGTCTCATTGGTCTTTTTTGTTTTAGGATGAACAAACACCGTTGCATGTGGCGTGTTTAACTGGGACACCAGAATTAATCAATGTATTGTTATCATGTAAAGCTAATCCAAATCTACCAGCTCGTGATGGTTATACAGCTTTGCATATTGCATCTAAAGAAGGTCGTCATGATTTGTTAGGTCAATTGTTAGAAGCTGGTGCTGATTTAAACGCTCGTACGAAGGTTAGTATTCTCTATTTTGATATGAATAATTTTTTCTGGTCAGCGTTTTTTTGCGATTTAGTCTTCTACGGGATGGGGTCGCTAACCCCTACCCAGCCCTCCTTCTTTATCCGGGTTTTTGGGATCGGCAATAGCCACAGAGAGGCTCGATATTCTTATTTTCCTATTTTATTTCCCATTGGTTACCACTAACGTTTGTAAATTCGATTGGGAATTTTGATATACATTTTCACCATTGTGCTCTTAATTCTGCTTTTAACTGTTCATTCCTTCTCCTGTCTTTTTTTCTGTACTTAGTCTTGTTTTCTGGTACTGTTACTACTTATACTACTCTGGGATTTATCTTGATTATTTCATTTAAATTTGCTTGTGTGAAATATTTTTAACTAGATCACATAGGTACCAAGTTCTACGGTACATCTAATTGACTGACCAACTAACAAACTGTAGTTAGTTTTAAACGTTCATCAATAACTAGCCGAAATATTTATAATTAATGGTCACTTTACTGATCTTAGATTCGGTTGTTATCTGCATTGACTTAAAAAAATGCTAATAACACGTTTAACACTTGGAAGTGTATATTTTTGAGTTTTCTAATGATTGGAGTTAGTGAGGGCATGTGTTTCAGTCCACAAACTCAATTATTTTATGGTTTACACACATAACTACAACGTTTACCAATACTAAGTGATCTTGCTTGTGTTAAAGTATGCCTACGCACATTCAGTTAACTAACTCATTGATTTTAAAAGACTCTCCTCAGGAATTCAGTAAAAATCCATGAAATATGTCAACAGAAACTTACTTTGAAAATTATTACTAGTTAGTATTGTTCATTTGTCTGAAGTACACTTTTTCTACACTGAACGTTGACTGACACTTCTTTTAAGCTTAAGGCCTAGTATATTCATGTTGCCGAAAACCTAAACTAAAATTAAAAGAAATGGGATTTAATCCTGCATGACCAAGTAATTATAAATGGAGTACATTGATCTTATCACCTCTACACTTTTGATTCTAATCACCACAAGTGCTTTTTGTATTTCTGAAAATAATTTAAAATCCTGTTATGGGTTTGTAATTTTGTATTGTGATATTTATGAGTGCACTTTCCCAATCTCTATTGCCTATGTTATTTTTAAGTAGAGTGCATAGATATATCTTTATGTCTTACTATTTATTTGTTTATATATTTGTACAAGGAGGCATCAAATATATATGCACCACACAAATCAGTGAGTATCTATGTGTTGGCTGGGATATTATTACCCAGTCGCCCAAACCGAAGCAGGTGGTTTTCTTATTAAATTACTCCTCGATCCTTTAATCTGACGGTGTAATCGACAATGTAGTGGATCAACGTCAGGAAATGTGAATCCATGGTGGCTGGTGACTAATAATAGGTTCATACACCATTTGTTCTCTCAGGATCATGGAGCACATGTGCACCATTGATTTGGAATCTGGATTTTCCAACTACCGTAAATGGATCCTCCGTATCTACCAAACCGGTCAACGCACCGATCATTCACTATTCGTCCTCTCAATTACGTATATATATATATATATATATATATATATATATATATATATATATATATATATATATATAATATACAAATTTCAGATTTTTTACATTGCTTGTTTTGTTCCTTACTATTTTTATTTTCTTCTTCTGTTTTGCTTTACTCCATGTATGTGTACAAAAATACACAGAAAGGTTTCACCGCTCTTCATTTAGCCGCTAAACGTGGTCAAGTCAAAGTAGCTAAACAATTAATTCAAGCACAACCGAAAAGTGTTAACGCTATCGGTCAGAATGATTTAACTCCTTTGCATATTGCTACACATTATAATCGTTTACCTGTCGTACAATTATTATTGGATAATAATGCACAAGTAGATTGTCGTGTAAGTTGAATAAATTAATGTTTATTATTATTGATAAGTCTTCTAAATGAATAATCAATCCCATTTCCTAGCCGCTTCTAATAACATCAGGCTAATTTTACACGGCAACTTGAACACAATGAGATAATGGGAGGGAATTGTTAGAAGAACTCTTTTCTCCGTGATTAGTTTATGTAGTTTTAGGCGACCTTGGGCTTCTGGAAGTTTATTGAGACGTACTACATATAGTAACAACATAGGGATATATGCAGTCAGAAACTTGACTTGGGAGTCTTCACTTTCTATTTGTTTCTTAGAAGCTTCTTTGCACCGTTGATTAAATTTCCCAGCGTTTTCTGGGCCACTTGGACTTTTTTTGAGGATCCTTTTAGTGTACCCCAACAATCACTAATAATAATATTATTATTACTATTGTTATTTTTATTTGTGGGGTATCAGTCCTATAAATTTTTTTAAACCAAACTTTAGTATGTATTACCAAGGTTTTAGTGAAAAATTCAAATTGTTATCTCAACGGCTTGTCGTATAATATATTTGTTGTGTCATCATGTTGTATAAATTACTCAGCCCAAGCATATGAATATCATGTAACTTCTACTTGGTGCTCTAATGAAAATTTGTTCTGGAAACGTAAATCAGCAAGAACAGGTTTCTAGAAAATTAACTGTTGTGACTAAGTTCGGCTAGTTATCACGCAGTTTATTCACCAATCAAAATACGACTTATTCACTGTCGTACTGTACTAAACCAATGATGTTCGACCGGTCTGATCAGCTTAGTGTCCTTATTGGTCCCTTGCTCGTGTGGCTCGTCCAGTTGAGTCCAGAACATCAATAGCAGATTCCACTATGCGAATCGTTTATTTCTGACATACTTGGTTTATATACCAGCCAAACAGAACGCATCACACCATAAAATAGGAAATAACATACGTAATAAAGCCAAAAATTGGCTATAAACGTAGGAGACAGTAATTAGTTAACTGAGTATAATTTAAGAACAGTAAATCGTTTGATAACAAATTATAGGCCAAAATGATGCTTATAATAAGAGGAATATAAATATACATAATCTAGTTACTGAACAATTATACAATAGGAATATATGCATAATATTAGTCCATTAATAGATCTCAGAAGTTATTCGTAATTTAATCTTCGCTAGGAATAACATCAAATATTAGCAAGTTATTTTTTTGGATATTATATTGATTAATAGGGATTCCTGTAGCAAATAGATCCCTAAACAAAATAAAAATCTATATGTTTGGTCTCCTAATTTTTGTGTCGCTCATTTTACTCATTCGCATATAAAAAAATTATTTATGTGGTCAATAATAGGTTTCGCTTCTAATATAAAACACCCTAAGTTGAAAAATTCGAAATCCTTATTGATTTATTTCTGTACATTGAAAACTTAAAAGACTTATAAACGTTCCTGTTTTTAAAGTGTAAACTGCTGTTAATTATGTAGATTAAATTGAAACGATAAGTCTGCCCTTAAAAATAGTACACAGCTACTTTTTTTAATATGCTATTTATTCAACTGCAAACATATTTCAACTAGTAACACTATCCATGTATTTAAACCATACAAAGTGAATAAGAGTGGGGAGAGTCCGCTCTCCCTCTCGAAATACTCTCACACGGCCACGCGTATATAGCCTCTGCCAGGGAAGTCCTACTCACTGCCTTCTCGTGGCGGGGGTGTTGTTTACGAAAATGAGAGGACGAAAAGCGAATGTCCGGCGCTTTAACCGGATTCCAAACCAATGGTGCACATGGGCTCCAGTATCCTGCGGGGAAAAATGGCGTATGAACCAATTGTTGGTCACCGGCTTCCATGGGACTGTATCTCCTTACGATGCTCCACTGCCTTGTGGATCAGACCTTCAGGTCGAAGGCTCGGGGTGTGGCCCCCTAAGAAAACCACCTGCTTCGGTTTGGGCACCCGGGCAGTATCACAGCCCTCACACATATCGAATGAGATTTGTGTGGCGCATATGTATTTGGTGCCTCTTTGTACCATTATCTATGTGTTGAAATAAAATAAAATAAAGTGAATAACGAATCTAACCTACAACCTAATAATGATACTCTTGCGGCTTCAATTTACAGACTATCATTTCATTCTGATTATTGTATCCATCTCATTATAGTTTGAGTAGTGACTTGTTATTATAGTAGGGTAACCAACTGTGCTGTAATAAATGATGGCAAATAGAGTTTATACGAAATAGCTAAACGAATAATTTCACTAGGCCACATACCCGCTAAGTTGTTTAACCAATTCTGTATGATTAAATTTAGAATCCATCAAGTAGATAAACTTCTTAAGTACATTCTCAAGTAGTTACTTATCAAAGAAGGAAAAACAACAGATGCCGTTCTTTCAGTTAAGGGCGAAAAGTTCAATCGTTCACACACAACCAGTAAATGGTACAACTAAACTTTTAAAGAATATGATGTAATTACTTTACGAGTTAAAAATATGCCCCCAACAATCTAGGAAATTAATGCTAACGTTAAACTGCAACCGAATTCAAACAGCAATAATCCAAATAAGTATTATGGCAGTTGCCAGGTTCCTAAATCTATTAGTACAAAATAACACAATTTGTAGAAGTCATGCCTATAAAATTATACTCGAAGAAAATCAATGTTGCTAGTAAAACGACTAATAACAGTCTTGTCTGGTATCAGAAAATAAACAGAATCTAAAAATTAAGGTATCGAAAATAATAAAAATCCTCATTTAAGGGCAAGACAGAGTGTTATTGTTTCATTAAATGTATCCTTGCAAGAATTTCCACAAAATAAGCAGACAAAAAGAATCTTACAGTATATGATATCGGTGCTACTGCGGATAGTGACGACTATTGATAGATCGACAAACTTATAGTAAAGTTTTTCAGGTAATTTCATATTTGATGATGGAATAAGAATAACAGATAATGTCTTTTCCTACTACTAGTCAACTGTCCCAATCCCCCTTTTTTAAACACAATTTAATGGCATTTTATTGGGAAAAAAAGCAATCATAATTCTTTTCCCGGTTTATTATCATCAAATTCATATTCTGTTGTTTTGTTTGACTACTTACTGCCTTGTTTAAAATGCATGGACTCACACTCACTAGTAACCTACAATGATTCTATGCTGTTTTCTTATTTCTCTTGAAAAATAATTTTTTATTTACAATTAGGTAGAGTATACATGTTAGGGATCATAGTTTAATCGGTATTTATATCTATATTATCTATTCTTTTATTGCTCTGTTGAGCGTCATTTGTTCACTCAATTGATTTCATCCATTACATAACGTGTGCTATTATTATTATTTTTACTAGTCATGTGTTCATCCACGTGATAATATCTTAGTTAAGCCACCATATATTTCATTTGAGTTGTATATATTATAATAGAAAAATTACAGTTATGCTTTGTAGGTGTTCGTACATGCATGTGCGTGTAATTAACTCAGTTTAATACACTTTGATTAATGACTTGGCTTGTGAAACAATGTAGGAACTAAAAATGCTTCGGTCAAAATTGTCAAATGTTCGAAACAGAAAAAACAATAATGGGCTAATGTTATGCTTCTTTCTTTAATATTGGTTTATTCAAAAAGATTCCTATTAGAAAACAAACAGACAAAATAAGCATTGGTTTTTACTTTATGCTTTATTTTATTTATTAACTAATTTAACAAGTTCGAATTCATGTACTTTACTTCGAATCACATTCTAACTGTGAAAGCTAATGATATACTATCCAGTTGATCAACTCGAAACAGATGTAGACAGATTCTAATATGTGACTTAGTGGCTAAAAGTCACATTGCCTAATCACTGAACAATCGCTCAAAAACATTTGACATTTGGAACAATCTATTCTTCAGTTCGTGTTTGTAAACTGTTCATTTTTACTACTACATCTTTTCACTTAATGCCGCTATCGCTTCACTTATCATTGTTCATCAACGTCTATAACATGTGTGAACCGCATGTCCACACTTTTAAGTTCAAAATAATTTCATAATCTCATCCTTATGAACATTTTACTGGAATAAATCAATTTATTGCTTTATATGTGAGTACTAGAATAATTCTGTTAGTCTACTATTATCAGCCATTCAAATATTAATTCCCTGTTTTATGCTAAATATATTATACAATTCGGATCAATCAGATGATGCTCCAAATATTCACACCTTAGAAAACGAGTCAAAATTATCTGAATACAAAAATTAGTCTTATGAATGTTAGCAACCCTTTATTAACCATATTGTAGCCACATACACTTGACATATCTTAATTTACTGCTTCATCATTGGGAAATTTAAGTGAATGATGTATTTCCTTGACGTTTATTTTTCGATTAAACCTGGATGAAACAGCTGTTTGATTATTGGATGTTATTCATTTTCAGGTGAAATATAGTTGGTAATGTGTGTACTTGAATGGAAAAATCAATCAAGTTTATAAATGAGCGATGCTGTTGTTTCATTTACTTTTCGATCATATATTCTTAATCTTCGATGAAGTTTTCGGATTTGTAGTTTTGAAATTACGTTTCTTTTTCTCTTAAGGATATGATCCAATTTTATGAATGCGTGGCAGTTAAAACTACTTCAACATATTGGCACTTCACATTGTCCAAATCTTTTTGTCAGCATAGCGACAATAACAAGCTTTAATCAGTAAAGATGCCAACCGATTCATGTGATATCCTTAGTGTTTATATATACTTGATAAATTTATCTCAGTTGCTAAATAAAGTACTCGATTTTGCTGAATATTACTCAAAAAATAAATATCAAAATACTTCTGTTTTGGCTTCGTTAATTTTCAGACAATGATTACAGTGCTTTTTGCCACTTACCAATGACTAAGCAATAATCTATAATATCATACCCTTATATATTTGGTAAATCGATTTGATTGTTATTCTGTCTTTCTTTATCGATAATTTTGTTAAGGGGCTGTTGAACTTTGAATCTAATAATTTATTTTACTGCTAGGTCCTAATGCTGTTATAAATTATGTGTTTACACCTGTTGTTTTGTTTTAAGGCTGGCAATGGTTATACGTCGTTACACATGGCAGCTAAACAAAATCATTTAGATATTGCTACACTTTTATTGGCTCATGAATCTGACCAAATTCAAATCGCAAATTCATCATCACGTAGTGGGTTTACACCATTACATTTAGCTGCACAAGAAGGTCATACTGATATGGTTTCATTACTACTACAACATGGAGCTGATCCAAATCATCAGTCGAAAGTATGTTGAGTTAAATATTCTTTTAATTTATAAAATTTATTTAGGCTTCACTATTGACACATTACTGAATAAGAAGAGATTAATTAATTTAATCAATATTTACTCAGCTAGTTGTAATCGACGTGAAGCTTAGCATAAATAAGCTTTAGCTCATATTGTCACGCCATATTAACAAAACGAAACGAATGTCATGGTCACTAATCAATCGCTGAAGATTTAGATGTAGGAATTGTGTTTTCTAAGAGTATATTTATGATAAAATTAAGTAAAAGAGGCAATGCTGTACAACATTGACGAAAGACTTAATTTTATCAATTCAGACAACCGTTCATCATAAGCTTTGACTTAACCAGCAGTGCTTGATTAGAGAGTCGTCACATAGTTTTCTAACTTCAGATACTAACTATCATAAACATTCCTAAAATATATTTCCAAACGATTACAGCGTAAATGTATGCTAAGTAGGATTTTATTCTAATATTGCGAAATTTTTGTAATGAATAAATTTATTATTATTCTTAAAAAAAAGCAATTGTATTTTGTTTCTCTCACAGAATGGTCTTGCACCACTACATTTAGCCGCTCAAGAAGATCACGTGTCGGTGGCACAAATTTTAAAATCCGCTGGTGCTAAAGTTAGCCCTCTAACTAGAGCTGGTTACAGTCCGTTGCATACGGCATGTCATTTTGGACAAATTAACATGGTACGCTACTTATTAGATTTACCCGATGCACCAGATATTAATCAACGAACACAAATGGGTTTTACTCCGTTACATTTAGCTGCACAACAATGTCATTCACAAGTGGTTCGTTTACTCTTAGAAATGGGTGCTGACAGTAATGTTAGAAACCAGGTAGGTGATAATTTCTTTTATTCTTTTAATACTTTGGTGGTACCATCAAAACTAATCGGGCTAGATGACATTGTATAAGTTTCGTTTCACAAAAATTTAAGTGTAAACAATAGTTTCGCACTTTTCTCAGAATTGTTTTGAGATGGATCGATAGATGTTAGTAATTCATTGACTAATTACGAGTACTGAATGGCATGTTTGGATAGTCCTTAATAATGTTCATGTCCTATTGATCAGGTTACAATGGAATCACAAGTTTTAACGACTTACCATTACACGAACTGTGTTTTAATATTCGATCGTTTGAGTAAACCAAAAAGTAATCCTTGACTTGGATTTATTGCTAGTTGCCACTCGTCAAGCATTACTTTCAAAGTGGTTCGGAACCAAGAACTTCCTACAGTAAACATCAGTTCGATTCTCTTAGGATTACATATATGAACTAGGTAACCAGCTCCAGGGTTTCTGACCAATTACATTCAATCACTTAACTGTTTTCAGTATAAAAAACGCACACACCTTGGAGAATAATAGATTAATTACCAGATCATATGTTTTGTACATTTTTGGAATTTTTCCTAATGATAATTGCTGATTTACCATAATCTATGCCAAATTGTCAATGATTATCAGGGGATAGAACTTATGTAATACTTTCCAACCAAATTTCTCTTTATGTTTACCAAACATAAATCAAATCGGAAATCCAATTCTAATATATCTTTCACTTTTAATCGATAGCACATTTTAGACGTTTTTCACTGAAATCATTAACTGATCACTGTTAGACTACCATTGAAAACCTGAAAACACTAGACGGCCGTTTCATTAATTTTTCTAGTTTCATCGAAGCATATATATATATATATATATATATATATATATATATATATATATATATATATATATAAACATTCAAATGCTATAGTTCAAATGATTTCAGTTAACTCTATGCACTTACTGTGTTTGCAACAATGAATATATCACAACGTCTCTGGAAATATCCTTGACTAGTGTATGGCTTTACGTATTATTTTGAAAATTATTTGGAAGTTGTTTATTAATACCCGTAACAGCACACGAGACCAAGTTGGTCACATTCAAATCCTTCCTCCTAATACCTCTCTTATCTCCATGACTAACCCTCCTCACGTCTCTTTATCACCTCGCACCGCTAGGGCAAGCGATTCGAGTACGTGGAACGCTATTCCTGGTCTCCTGAAACCACGCTCTAAACTACACGTAGGAGCTTTTAACGTCCGAACACTGTGCCAAATAGGACATCAGGCTTCCTTAGCTAGGACTTTAGTATCTCGCGCCGTCGATGTGTGCTGCGTCTCCGAAACGCACATACAAGATCCGAGTAGCGTCATTCATTTGACTTCACCATGCCAAAATAAAGAACCGACTCGATTTACGCTTCGTGTATCTGGAAGCCCTGATTCTGCTTTCCGTGGCCTCACCGGCGTAGGTATAGCATTGAGTCCTAGGGCAGAACTAGCTCTCTTAGAGTGGATCCCAGTAGACAGTCGTTTGTGCGCTGTCCGACTGAACGGAACAGTAAGAATCCGGAAAGATAGGGACACCCGTCGTTGCCTCTTCGTCGTTTCTGCCTATTCTCCCACTGACTGCAGCTCAGATGATGTAAAAGATGAGTTTTACAGACAGCTTTCTGACATTCTCCGAAAAGCTAGGCGATCGGATGTAGTAATAGTGGCCGGTGACTTTAATGCTCAAGTAGGTAAACTAAGTGATAGGGAAAGACACCTAGGTGGATCTTATGGTGTCGTGGCTCAAAGAACAGATAATGGCGACCGTCTGTTGCAGCTATGCTCAGATAATCGCCTGTTCCTTGCAAATACTAACTTTAAGCATAAGGAAAAACATCTTTTAACATGGAGACCCCCTAATTCGTCCCAACGTTGGACCCAAATAGATCACATCACCATCAGCCACCGATGGACGGGCTCGATAGAAGACTGTCGCTCATTCTGGAGCACATGCTTAGATTCAGATCATGCTCTAGTGCGAGTACGTATTTGCTTGCGTCTTACTGGACGTAGGAAAGACGCTGCAAGGAAACCTCTTAGGGGCCTACTTAATGATAGTCAAGCTAAGAGTATATTTCAGGAACAACTAGGAAAACAGTTAGACAGCCATGTATGTGATGCCCACCTCGAGGCAGCATGGAATGATATCCGTAAAGCTGTGGAAACAGCAGTGATATCTGCTAGTACGGTAACCCGTAAGCTTAGGGAACGACACTGGATCTCAGCAGCATCTATCGCACTGATAGATGCTCGGAAACTCATTCCACCTGGCTCTGAACATAATGAAGAGTGGAGTCAGCTTAAGCGCAAGCTGACAAGAAGTCTACGCAACGATCGCGAACAGTGGTGGGTAGCGAAAGCAAGAGAGATGGAGAAGGCAGCGGCAATAGGTAATAGCAGACAATTGTTCAGACTCGTTAAGGAAACCGGAATTAGGAACCCGACTGTTAGCGAAACAATCTCAGAGAAAGATGGACATATTATTCATTCTCAATCCAGGAGATTGGATCGATGGGCAGAACACTTTAGGGATCAGTTCAACTGGCCTTCAGCTACACTTCGGTTTCCCACGATCCCCAGTCAACCTGAATGGCAAGTTAGTGTAGGTCCTCCGTCTCTTTACGAAGTTGAAAAAGCCATAGGAAATCTGAAGCGAGGGAGAGCAGCAGGCCCTGACAGGTTTACTCCTGAGATTTTTAAGGATGGTGGTTCAGTACTAGCAGTGAGATTAACTGAGATCTTAGGTAGAATTTGGGAACTGGACGTCATCCCATCTGACTAGTCTCAATCACTGATTGTGCCAGTCTATAAGAAAGGACGAAAGCCGTCTTGTGACAATCACAGAGGAATCAGTTTGACAAATATAGTGTCTAAAATATTAGCTTCAATAATACTTCGACGCCTAACCAAAGCTCGTGAGAACAGACTATAGAAAACCAGGCTGGTTTTCGACCTGGACGTGGTTGCATAGATCAGATATTCACACTACGTCAGGTTCTAGAACATAGACACACGTTTAGACGCCCCACAATGGTAGTATTTCTCTACCTTAAAGCGGCATTCGACTCTGTTGATCGTGATGTTCTATGGCAGTGTTTGTCACTGAAAGGAGTACCAAAGAAGTACATTAACCTTATTCAGGCTCTCTACTCGAATACAACTGGTAGAGTGAGAGCTTATGGCGAACTGTCATCAGAATTGATTACATCAAGTGGTGTTCGTCAGGGCTGTCCACTCTCTCCATTCTTGTTCAACTTTGTCATTGACGTACTTTTAGAGATAACACTTTCCTCGTCTAGATTTCCAGGGGTTGAACTTCTACCGGGAGGTTCACTTGTTGACTTGGAATATGCCGACGACATAGTTCTATTTGGTGAAGACGCTGACAAAATGCAGAGTCTTCTGACCACTCTAAGCAACAATGCAAGCATGTTCGGAATGCGGTTCTCCCCTTCGAAATGCAAAATGTTGCTTCAGGATTGGGTTGCATTGACACCCGAACTAATGATAGCGAGTGAAGTAATTGAGCGTATCGACAGCTTCCCTTATATTGGAAGTCTCATCAGCCCTTGTGGTGTGGTGTGTGACGAAATCTCAGCACGGATACAGAAGGCTCGACTAGGTTTTGCCAACTTGCGTCATTTATGGCGTAGGCGAGTTATCCGTCTATCAACCAAAGGACGAATTTACTGCGCAGCAGTTCGTTCCGTATTACTTTATGGCAGTGAAACATGGCCGGTAAGAGTAGAGGATATTCGTAGGTTACTAGTATTCGATCATAGATGTCTTCGAAACATTGCTCATATATCATGGGACCATCGAGTAAGTAATGCAGTTGTTAGGAAATGGGTACTAGGTAAGGATGGCAAATCAATTGATGAAGTAGTGATGTTCAGTGGTATAGGAGTAGATTGGAAGAAAGCTAGGGGCGGCCAGACCAAAACATGGCACAAGTCCATGAAGTCACTGACAAGTGGTCTGAGTCATGTTGATAGGTGTAGACTACCTGGTTGGGGACCGCGAGATGATAGCAACCGATGGTTAGGGACCTCGAATGACATGGCTCAAAATCGTTTGCAATGGCGCAGGTGCATCCACTCTTTGTGTTCTCCCAAATTCTAATCTTCTGAATTCTTCATGTCCCTTTTTTCCTCTTTCCAAATTTATTTCACTGGATTATACTCGTTAAATAACATCTCCAAACCCTAATCTTCCCGATCACTGCTTACACTCTTGCTACCTCTACCACAATGGGATTTGAATCGACAACTGCATCTCTGTGTTAAGGTGGTGTGGCAACTCGAACTGATGTACGTACGTATGAAGTTGTACGTTGTTATTGACTGACTGAATACTTGTCTCTTGACAAGTAAAATCGATCAGTTGCGTTATTAAAGCCGAAATGTAAATAGGCTTACTGGTATTCATAAATTCTGATACAAAAGCCATCCGTCTATTTTCATTTCTCAGCCGTTCCGAGTTAGAAAAAGAGTGATATTTCTATGATCTTGTGACAGTTCTCTATGTAATGTAGCAATGATGAGGTTGAACAGTATTTGTTTGGCCACATCGACATTAATTTCGTTTTTGTCACCATCATGAAACACCGGCTGTTGTACTTCGAGTGTGTTTTACAAATGTCATCCCAGTGGCCTCCATTTCATGCATTATTTGTCATCGTTATAACTAGTTGGAAAATGTGAGGTGGTATTCAGTTTATGGTATGATATAATGGTCTATAAGATATAGTATGGGAATGGCATCTGCGTGTCTATAATGACTTCCTGATCGGGGTCCTAAAGACGCTGCGATGTGAAACGTTATCAGGTATGACACAGAATAGGTATCCTATACAAAAGTGAGTAGAAATAACTTAACTGAAAGCGGTCTTTTTGATAACGTTTTTATCAGAACTGTTCCTCACATTATAATCTGTTTTCATTCACTTTTATTTATTTCTATAGCTTTATCATGCTTTTCCCTCTGCTTTTTCTCTCAACAACTTTTATTTCTCTATTTTGACTCGCAGTTTTCTTGGTGTTTATCGGTGTAAAATGAAATCGCTAGCTGCCCTGTAAATCTATTGCGTGTCGAAATTGACTTTATTAACCTTAGTTATCGACTTATTATATATTGAAGTATGCATAAATGATATTGACTTTCATAGTTATAACCTTTCTCACGACATAAATCCAATAATACAATTAGTTTTCTATCAATTTTATATTTGACGTAGAAACACATCTTTCTCAAAGCAACCTATTGATTGATACATATATGTTCATTGATGAGGATAGTTTTTCATGGTAAATCTCATTCAGTACCATGGGCAAATAAATTTATAATCACGTGAAGTCATTTGGAAAATTTTCGTATTAACTGGTAATGTAATTGTCACGGTACTATTTAAACCATAAAAGTTTCCCATAGTTCTCTTTTTTCTAATATGACAAACATAAGTTCAATAGCGTCAATTAACCTTAATTAGTTTATACTCTTCCTATCTGTATGTGATTAGATTTTCGTGGATTGCATATACTGTGTACTTCTAGAAGCCTGTATTTTTTTTAACAGTTTCTGTTTCTGACTGCATTCATACGATTCGTTTCTAGACTTAATTTATTGGTCGTACCACAATATGACAGATTCGTAACTCGTACTATTTTGTATTGTAAACTTCCCTAAATTTTTTATCATAATAACCTAAAATCTACATTCCGTTGAAAATAGCTTCGTTATAATGATTAATGGATAGGAATAAAGAGGATTTTCTCTGAATTGTCGTTATATATACTGAGACGTGAAAATATAGTCTTTGGAAATTAATAATGATGATACTTATCATTGTGGTTATTATTATTATTATTATTATTATTATTATTATTATTATTATTATTATTATTATTATTATTATTAGCGTTATTGTTATATTGGTTTAAATGATATGTATATAATCCACCCTTCTGTGTGTTTCTTTTGCTCTTCATTTCACATTTCATTCTATACGTTGGACTCTAATGATTATTGCCATATCATGATCATCACTATTCATTAAACACCTCTTTATAGCAAGGTCTGACACCAGCACATATAGCACGTAAACAGCATTATGTTACAATATTTGATATTTTAAAAACTGTCACTACAACTGTAGTCAGTTGGGAGGAGGAACATGAAGAACTTGATCAAACGCTAATGTTAGAACATCCAGATTTTATGCGTGAACATCCATTTACAGAATTAGATGAAGATGGTGTTGGTATGTTATTTAGCAATTTTTAATGTTCATATGTTAATTTTTGATAAAAATTTGCAGTATTCGTCTAATTATTTATTATCCACTTGTTATTCATCGACACTGCTTTCCTATTTCACGCCGTGATTCTCGCTATATTTGTGTTTTTCACTCAGTATATTGTGATGGGCTTCACAGATTTGTTCATCATACCAAACGGTTTGAGATATGTTCAAACACATAATAATGTTCATATAAATTATTGTTAATGCTGAGTGATATAAGTAAGTTGCTTTAAAGAAGAACTCTTTTCTATTGAATTCATTTACAGTGGTGGGCAATTGTTTCGATATGTGTTAAGTTATAAAACTAAAAATAATTTGTATATTTGTTAGCATACCAATGCAGAGTGAATTGTGATATGAAAATCAACTGCTTAATATTTTGTAATTCAGTGGTTATGGGAGAGAAAAGCATTTATTCATCACGGCAAGAGAAGTAACTTAATAGTTGAAACGGAGGACAATTATTTTATTAAGTTGATAATAAATTAATAATTACTATGATAATATCGAAAACAGAGACATCTTTTAACAATCAAATTCATGAGTCCATCTAGGCTAGACCACCGTTAGAAACCTGGAAGCGCTGGACGGCCGTTTTCTCATAGTGTGGGACCGCTTAGCAGTCCACACTTATGATCCTGCACACGGGATTCGAACCTAGAACCTTCGGTCTCGCGTACGATCTCTTAACCTCTAGAACACTGAGCCAGAACTAGCCAGATTAGCCTGAAAATAGATTTCCTGGAGTTCTACTGAGAAGCCGTGACCAGCGTAGTACAACCTGTGTCCTGTGTAAGACAATTATCCACCTCAGACAATGGATGAAGGATTGAACATGATCATGGATCAATTGAAGTTAGACATCAATATCGGTTAATTATCATCGCCATTTACTAAACCATGATTAACAAATCTATGGTATGTTATATTTATAATTCACTGAGACATTTTTCAATTTGACTCCTCTGGTCGATTTCTAAGTATCATCAATATCACGAGTGTGTTTAATTTTTTATTTGTTCACAACTGTTAATGTTTTTATTATCTTGATAGTCATGTTAACCTGGTATTCTGAGGAAATGGCCTAACTGATGTGTATAGATTGTTGAAAATATTTTATTCGTATGGTCTTTAGAATATGCTCTAATTATTGTTTATATAACTAAGTGTGTATAGAAATGAACTTTGATTATTTTAATTCACTCCATGATACATGTTGTTTTTGGTAATTTTATTAGCATTGAATAAATATGTAGTTTGTACCACTTCTCTGTGTCCTGAATAATTAAATTTGACTGTAGGAACTCGCTACTGGAACAATGTTCATAATATATTTTTTAAGCTGAGATTTGGTAATTTCTTTATATTTTAGCATTACGCTACATCCTAATATTACCATGTCATTCGTTTCCTTGAAAGTAGAACTATAATTCGGCCGTTCAGTCATTTTATTTCTCAGTTATTTATTCACGACTCTGATTCATTAACTCATTTGCCTTTGGGAAATGGCATAGAGAAGATCTTTGTTTGTTAACGGCATGGCGAGTACACGGCACAGCAGTTCACACTTTATTACTCTTCAGGTGTGAAATATTGTCTGTGAAAGTAAAAAGCTTGCTTATAGTGCATTTATTTAGTCATAAGTTTCTTATGCATCGTGAGATGATCGAGTGAGCAATGTTGAGAGTAGGCATATGGTACTAGATGAATATAGGAAATCTGTTGATGAACTTGTTAAACTCCTAAATGAGATAGCTGTGGTATGTATTACATATTGCTAACCATCATCTTAAAACATAATGATGGCTCGAGAAAATATAGATCAAAAGAATGTTGATCCCAACCGACTCAAGACATAGCATCGTTCAGTTAAATAATTGACTGTTGAACATGTTCTATAGTACAGCCATGATGTCTAATAGCTTCACCGTACTTTTAGTTTATGCGTATTATGTACGTGTTTCACAAAACTATATATGTACATATTTCCTACTGTTTAGTCAAATTATTCAGTGAATACAAATCTTTTTACGTCATTGTCACTAGAAGGATTTTTGTTATGATTTTTAAAACTAGATACAACTTTTTATGCTTGGTTGGCGCCAGTATGTAAGACCTACGTCACTTGAAGCAATTGCGTTGTTTTGTTTGGAAGAAATAAAGGAATTGTTTAACTTATCAAAAATATTCTCTTTGTGTACTGTTTATTTTTTCACCAGACCGCAAATACACTAGTCCTTTCTAGAAGAAAAATAGACGAATTATACAAACTGTAGATACAGACGATAAGTGTGAAATAGTAGACTTTTGATAAATTATCCCAAGCGGCTTTTGTTAAGATTTTTCGAATGGAAGATAGATTTTTGACTACTGAATAATTTTAAATATAAAATCATTGCGAACCAAGAAAGATGTGGGACATTAGTATTTTTTCCTGATAGGAATTCTACTACTCCTCTGTCATTTTCTCAAAATAATTGTACCGTTGTTGTAAACATGTGATTTCAATACATCCCGTAAGCTTGAATGCTTCTATTCTTGTATGGTACGAATTTGAAGGCGGAATGCAAATATCATCAAAAAAAGGAATATTAAAGAAAAAGTTTTTAAAAAATTACCGTTTAATTGATTCGAAGACATAAAGACTTTAAATGAACTACTTGTAAACGTTCAGTCAAATATATTTCGTTCAAACAACATGGTCTAGAGAGCTATTGTACACATAGCGAAGACGGGTTGAAATATGAATTTCCATAAGGTATTGAGTTGCAATGAAATAAACATAATGCAATGAGATAAACATTGAAAATAGATGCAGTGAAGCGGAGATAATTGATGATTCATACATAGTTTCTACAGCTTAACTAGGTCAATGGAAATCAAAATGTAAATGATCACATTAATTAAGCTACTGAATATTCACACATGTATATGATTAGCAATTTGATTATGATGAATACAATGGTGTCTGTTGTATATGTTAAATTTGACCTTTCTGAACAATGAAAATGTGTAGTCTCAACACACATTCAATATTCAATTCACATTTAACAATATACTCTAATTTGTAAATACACTGTTACTTAAACATTTTTATGTGTGTATATGTATATAGATTTTCTCATAGGCTTGGTAGGTTGGATATCAGTCATTTCATTTTGAAATGATGTTTTTCCTAAAAAAAGAACACAGATAAGTTCGAATGTGTGCTACTCACCAAAAAACTGTATGTTGCATTCTAACAGTTACGTAAAATTGGAAAGAATTAGTTATTTACTGAATTCCTCACAAAGTAAATAAGTCTGATGATGTAATAAAATGCTGATATACTATGCACTGTATATATATAATATACCAGAGCATTGAATAGCACTATTTCCTTATGAACGCGTATTCGTTTATAGTCGTTTATATGAAACTCATCGGCAACCTTAGGTTCGTGCATACTTGATTTGTTGCATTACATATTTTTGTGTTCTATATAATAACTATCTAAATGAACCTGGAGAAGTCGGATTTTAGATTTTGTGCGCAATAGCTAAATGGTTGAAAATCGAATCTTAGAATTCATCACTTTATCATGGTTTTTATTTGGCAATGTTTTTCGATACAGTAGAATAAGAGTCACTGTTTAGTCTTTGTTTCTATTGATATGTATGTTCGATACACCAACTTCATTTAAGAATTATTTCTGTAAGTCCAAATCAGTCTTATATAGTTGGAATACCTTGTTTATCTAATTCACACTGAAATCACTTATGAAAATGTAATGGCAGAGACGTTGTATCATCGTTTTTGATGATGAAGTAATCAGTTGTCTGATAATATAATATGATTGAGTGTTGATTACTCTCTATATAGCTAAAGAACAAGAATGAAATGAGGTATGTGTTCGTGTCAAAAGTGAAACAGTTTTCACCAGTCGCATTAAATGACGTCTAATACATTGGAAACTGACGGAAATTAAACTCGTACCGTTGAAAACTGATTCATTTCCTATGAGGCTTCATGTTCCTGCGTTCTATCTCTTGGGTTGTTGGTTCGCACTATTGAGGAGTGCCGTACTAGGACTAAACTGCTATTCAGTTCTCTTTGGTTTTCAGGTATACCTCGACTGCGATCAGTTAGTATTCATCATCATCATTCTAAACAATAATATTTCATTGTTTGCATTTCTTAGATTTGACGAATTATATTTTTGTTTTGTTTCTATCTTTTTCTCCTTTACTACTGTTTCGCTAATCAATACTCAATATTAATAAAACAATTCAACAATTTTCAGCACCTTCACCATCAATTTCACACCGGTTATCATCATCTAATAAGAAACTAAAATCAAATGAAGATGATAATTATTATTCATCTGATCTTACTGAACAAAAGAGTGAGTAATTTGTGATTTAATATCTTTTTTCCTTTATTTGTTAATAATATTTTAAAGAAGTGAATTTTAAGGAAGTGTTATCTTACCGATAATTATAATATGTATTTTTTTATTGTATGTTTAAGTTATTAACTGAAGCTATGACTAACTGCTCACTAGTAGAAACTTGGTTTATGTATCTGTAAAGGATAAAATTCTTCTTCTGTTTACCTCTGTGTTCATTTATCTGTTCACTTGCTCCTTTTGAGCAAAGCACATAGACTTTCAACTCGCGTACAAGAATAGATCACTTGGGGATTCTACACCGGTGAGAGGAACGCAGTTAGAAATTCCATACTAGAATATTTTATCGATCCCTCTCTCTACCAATCCACGGTTTAATTCTAACGTTGTTTATACAAGAAATCTAAATAGATTTAGACTTCTTTGTATCCAACTCCCTAAAATAGCAAAAACGCGATCAACTCAGAACTGTGCTTACAAAAGAATTTCGTCTTATTTGTATTTTTACCATGGCCTTGAACTATTATTATTATTATATTTCTTATTCGAAAATATCCCCCTCTAATTATTACTCATGTCTCTATGATTTCATTCGTAAATGTTTCTGATATCTCTCCATTTCAGTTTACCCATTACCTTTAATTATTTTAAGGAAACCACTTTGAATATCTTAGTCTATTCACGTTATGATCCGTCGTTATACTTGGTATTAACATTCTTCCAACTTAGAAGTGATCTGGATTAAAATAACCACACATATATTGAAACTCGTCAGTTAATCGCATTTGATTGTAAATATCAAATTAAATTTACGTGCATGGACTTGGGGTCAGAAACCATATACTGCAGAAAACAACCTTGCTAAGAAAATGCTAACTAGAAAAAAACTTTTGACCACTTAAACTTTTTCCTGACAGTTGAGGGGCCTTTGTTTTCAGAGTTATGACTCTTCATGGTGAAAACTGAAATTCTTCAGAATTCATGAGGCCTATGCCTTTTCTAACAACCAGAGCAACAATTAGCAAAAGTACATAGAATATCCGCACAATCAAGGAAGACTGATAGGACCATTCAAGTAGCTGCATTAATGAAAAAAAGCTATCGATGCTTCGAATAAATGAAAGCAATTTAACAGAGACTGAACAGAAGATACCATCTGTGGGAGAGGTGCTGTTGTACTCTGGTCATGAAAAGGATGATGCTTCGCACACAGAAGTTTCATTGACACTTTCCAAGGAAGCACGAACAGCACTTATAAGATTGGAATCTCATGAATTTGGGATCATAAAAGCATCTTTCAAAACAACAAAGGAGGGGATTTCAATGAATATCATCTAATGTGATGCACTCACCAATAACAACAATGAAGGTGATTAAGATGAGTTTTGTATGAGGCTGTTGTCGATTGTAGAGAATTCAATCACCAACACACGAAATATGGCAATGACTTAAATAACTCGTTTGAAGTTAATAATAAGCGGATCCGACTCCGTGTTATATAAATTGACAAACGTCGAATCTATCAGAAGGCTTTAACCTGATCTTTTTATTTAAAAACAGTCGGTTGTCAGCCGTCGCTACCTTGGTAACATCTTGACCCATTTTTCAGCTTATTGTAATCATAATTTAATGAATTGAGCTCACTTGTTTAATTTTCCTTTTTATGCTTGAAAATTTTGTTTGGTCAAATTATGAAATCGTTTTAATATACTGGAACCATTAGCTCAATCAATAATAAAAAGAATCCACCTTATTTAAACTTAACTTTTAAACTTTTTTCATATTACTCATTAGCTTATTCGTTATTGTTTGTCAATTCATTTTTAACATTATATCATCAATTGGAAATAATTAAACATATTAGCTTTTATGCAATTTATCAATATGGTCCTTACTGTTTAAATAATATTCTGTTCTAAAAACTAGTACAGTTTCCATAGGATTTTTTAATCTAGCACTTGTACAAATCATGTAGATATGCAGGGGGAGGGCATTTACGCTGTTATCTCCGGTTATTTTCTTCCAACAAATGGAACATTCGTGTCACATATGTCATAAGAAATATTGTCAATCAAATCATGGGGAATGGCCTAATCAACTTCACCTCTCACTTTTCAAGCTGCTGCTTATTCATTTTATTCATAGTGCATGAAACCCTTGTGTTAAACTATGATGGTGCATTATTACATAGTTGAAAAATTAAGACGAAATAACTGTTACTACTGGACATTCAACTGCTTTTTAGTTTTATCCATTACAGCTTTAAATACGTCCACAATATATTTCAATTTACGTTTTTGCTACTCTTATTAATAAAACTGAACACATTTAATGGTATGTATATACTTAATTGAAATTTGTTTCTGTTTTATCTAACGCTCCCTCCATAACACTTGTTTGAAAATAGAAAATTACCCACATTTTTCCGTATTGATATTAAATAGCGTCGTTAGAATAACTTACTTGCTCCTCCACTGTTTTGACTCAGATTGTCACTTTCTTTTAGTGATTTCACCACATAAATATTTATATGCTCTATTTGTTCTGATGATTTCTTTCAGTGAAATATTGTAATTACTAAAATTAATGAGGAGTCTATGTCAGTATTTATCTCTTTCTATTACTGTCTTCTTCGTTTCCAGGTCATACTGGTCTGTACAATTCAGCTTTTGATAATACATTATTAGCTGAGACGGAGAATGATGATATTTGGGGGCAATTAGAGTATATGCATTCCACTTTGAGTAAGAATTTTCTATTTTTTTTTAAATGGATCATCCATGCTCTTTTGTTGTTAGCTGTGATAGAAACAGTTCATTTCTTTGAATTGAATTATGTGATCGACATTCCAATAAAAATTAAATTTTTTTAAGTAAAAAAATCAAGGTTTATTTGTTTTTTATAAACCGTAATTCTGTTATAAATATGATTGTGTATTGTACGGTAATTGTTAAGTTTATAATTGTTTCATTTTACTGTATAGTCACCTTAGAGTATGTACCAAACATTTCTATTGTATTAAAAGATTAGTTCAGATAAACAATTTTCACATGTTCAATTGGGGTTTTTTTGTTGAAAGCAATTCTCTCTGCGACGAATACCACACACGAAATTCAATAAGTCGTAATTTATGAGTTCTTTTTCTGATAACTTAAAAATATTTGTAGAGATTGTTGAATTCCACAGAAATCATGAACAGATTGATGTTAAACGCAATAAAAAGCTGGAAGCACTGGATAAGCGTTTTATCCTAGTTTAGGACTCCTCAGGAGTGCTTATCCACAATACCGCACATTGGACTCGAACCCAGTATCGTTCAGTGCTTCCAGGTTTTCAATGGTCGTCTAACATTGATCAGTTCATGATTTCTATTAATAACTGTATTTCCAATCTCTTTTATTAATTGTGATTGCTATCTGTTGATTAGCTAGTTTTTCTCCAGCATACTCTGTTTACATATACAACTGATGAATTAATTACAGGTAATTCGTCATACGAATCATAAGTCTCTGGGTTTTTTCTATGCTGCTTGATTCCTTTTTTATTTCATGAGCACTGTTGTGATTATATTGAATAAAATTGGTAATCCACCTCAGTTATTTTTAATAACGTACAGTTAGAAATAATAGATGGTGTAATTGGGAGAAGTCGTTAAAATATGAGAAGGGAAAACAAATTAGGATTAGGTTTGATATGAGGATTTCGAGTGGGAGAATGGACTCTCAACACCCTCGGTCGTTACAAGGCAATTGTGTGCTAACTAACTAGATGGTATGATTATGAACATTAGTTAAAAATATGTAACACAACTATTCAAAATGTATCAGAAGAATTTACTGGGACTAACTGTTAATGTATATTTAAATTTTAAATATCCAAAGCTGTGCCTAAGCATTGTAAGAGCAGTATTTTTACTGATGAAACACTTTTATTCCAGTTTCGATTTCATTCTCAATTTGACTAATATGATGTATATCTTCATTGTAATATCAAGTAAAAGAAATGAGAAATTTCAATATATATAGTTATGTTAGCAAGTTGGCACGACTACATACAACGAACACCATAATCTATTGATTTGCTATAGAAAACAGTATGGATGACCTTGTGAATACCCACAACTGTGTTAATATTTGCTTAAACTTAATTGGTTTATATGACCACTGATACATTCACATATTTTCTTTCTTGTGTGTATATTATTGTGTCACAAGTTTATCAGTATATATAGGTCACGTAAAGCAGAGTTATTGTGTTTGACTGTACAATGTTAACTACACATTTCATGTTTTTAATACGAAATTAATTATCAAATGTATTTTATTGTGATGCAAGATTTATATAAATAGTTGTGAAAAATAAGCACATTAAAAGAGTTAAGAACGATTACTTTGTGCGATGTTTTAATTATTACTTACGCTTATTTAACTATTGTTCATCTTTTGCTTCTAATAATATGTACGTTAACACGTATTACTACAGACATGCCATGATGATATTAGTGATTTAAGGTTGAAGAATTCAGTTCTCAATGTTCGAACTCTGCTTGACTTACAATATAGTTCTGTTATTAGTGTCTACATAAACTTGATGTGATTCGAAAACAGGGATTCACAGTGTATTGTATATGATAAATGAATTATACCTGTTAGCTTTTTTTTTTACAGATATTTATGTTGAACAATGAACAGTTGTTTAAATTAAAAATTGAGTACATAACTAAACTCATTTTACTTCCGTATATTTCAGTATTATATTTGAATAATTTATTAGGAAAGCTCGATAATAATGTAACAAGTAAATGGTTAACTTAATTGTTTAAATGCTTTACTTCAATGTTCAATACTAAGACTTTTTTCATTTTAAGTTATCAATTTTTATGCCCTTTTTTCCCTTCTTTTACAACATAAATAATTGATTCTGGATAAAACAAAATAAATCGAATTTTTCTAATCGCTCTGGTTATTATCAGTTTATTAACTTTATTTAATTAGCATAAATGCAAACGAATTCAACTGTGTAGAATTGACATTTCATCGGGTAAATGTTTTCCTTTTCATGTCAATATGAAGTTAGTTATCCTTTTTTTCCATTTTGAAGAAACTAAATACTTTGTTATTCGATCTTACCTCGTACGACTATGTATGAATTCGCTACTATTTTCTCGTTGTTATGATATTATCTCTACTCATTCTGAATAGATTAACGGTTTTTTCTCATAAGTATTCAGTTTAAAATAAAAGTCATCATATATCTTTCGAGACAATGCACCATGTTCTTTTATCATTGATGTTATCATTATTTTTCAAAATATTTCAACCAAATTTAATAAGAATAAGGCTAAACACCACAAACAGATTACTAATATTTTTATTTTAACAAATTACGTTAGTTTCCTGGAGTTCATAAAGTCTCAAAATTCTATAATATTTTGTCAATTTTCAATGTATTCTTAGTTCAACAATTTGCTCATTTTTTAAAAATCTGACTATAAATATTGATATAAAGGAGTTGAATTCTTTTAATTAAGAATTTTCACTGGATGCTATAGCAACACGTCTCTTTCTATATTTTGTAAAATACTATATGTTTATTACTTTTTAGCCTTCCATAAAGTTTACATTTGATACGTTTAGCGAATTGAAACAATAAATATTGTTCACAAATTACAAGACTGTCAACTAGCTACCAAATATAGATCGATAACCACTTAATAAATACCTCCAACCGATTATTATTTTAACTCATTTCATGAAATGTTATATCACTTGCACTAGTATCCACATTCCAACTTAAGTAAATGATGATAATGTAATTTACAATTTTGTTGTTTTATTCTTTTACACAACTTAAATTGCAACGATGATTTATTCAATGGTATGACAATTTAGAATTTTATTCACTAAATTATTGTGGGACGCCAGTTAACATGGGACTGCATCTCCGAACGTTACTCTACCGCATGTGGATTACACCTCTAGGTTAACGACTCGAGAAGTGTCCCCCTAAGAAACCTACTTGCTTCGGTCTGCGCACGCGGGTAATATTTCGGCCCTTACATAAATTGAATGATTTGTGTGACGCACATATATTTGGTTCCTCCTTGTAGCAATGTTTATGTGTTTAAATAAATAAAACAACTTTAAAAACAGTTCTTCTATTTCTTATCAGGTTTTTTTTCTTTATCTTCTAGTCCACTATCAACCCTCCGATCTTCCACTGATCAAATGATCTTCCATCCTTTTCCTAAAATAATATTGAGAACATATTTTCTTAACTAAAATAATTTTAGTTGAATTTGTTACGGGTCAATAACTACATTTTGTTCTTTTTTATTCTGTATCAAACATTTTTACCATAACATATAACGAATAAGTTTTTTTTTCTCTCACTTATCCTTGGGCATTATAATATTTTATAGCATGAATTAATGTGGATTAGTGAATTGTGAATAGATAATTTTCTATTGCGTACATTGGAGTTATCATTTTGCAAAAGATTAACCTAACCTATTTGCGATTTTTTTAAAAGCGTTGAAAGGCCAAATGAAAATCAATGACATTGTACTATAATATATTGTAATGTTTTTGTCTTAAAATCGGAACATCTGAAGAATACCTTTCTAAATTGAAGTTGAATATTTTTAAAATCTTTCAACCAGCAATGGATTTTTTCCCCACCAATAGTTTATATATATATTGCATATTCAGAAATAAACATTTTTAATTGTTATTTAACTTGAAACTATATACACAAATCTAGGTCCTCAAGGTACACTTTCGGATCGTATAACTAGTCAAAAGGGTATGATTTATTGCACTATATTGCGATCTACCGCTTTCAATGTTAATCCTATTGTAAAATTTTCGTTGTTTCTTTTCGTATAATATATAGTGCTTGGTGTAAATTCATTTGATATACATGGATATTTATATATTTTTGTATGTGCTGTATCTAAGCACATATTGTTCCATTTGAATGTTATAACGATTCTAAATGTATGCATGAAAAACATGATTTCTCGTGTTTAACTTTAATGTGTTTTATCAAGTGCACATTTATATACTGAGCTTTTTATCATGTCTTTATTGTGAGTGTTGTTCAATGGTGCTGTTAATTACTTGTTGAATGATTGTTTGCTGAGCATGGCATTATTCTTTCAATCATCTAGTCAGTTGTTTCAACTCAGTTTTACATACATAAGTTCAGTTGATCAGGTATTAATACAACTCATACGAAGAATTCCAATAATGTTATATTCATTATATAAAGTTGTTTCTCAAAGTTTTTGTAATTTCTTGATTATATGAAATCATTTTCTCGAAAGAATAATCTATTAAACTTTTCAGGAGCATCGAGTTTCTCAAACTTATAGTATCGTATATTATGTTAGTGATGTGCAAATAATGACAAACAGCTTTTGTATATATATATTTTACAAAATATTGACCTTACACTTCACGTAAAGTGAAATTTTTATTGACAGTTTTATTATCAGAATAAGAGTTTGTGAAGATTGTAGTTATTTAATAGTTGGATGCATGAGTTGATTTAAGCTAGAACACCATTGAAAACCTGGAAGTATTGGATGGCCGTTTCTTCCAAGTATGGAACTCCTCAACGATGTGCGTCCACCAATGGTCTCAGGAATTCAACTATTAAATGATAGTTTTATATTGTAATGTAGTGCTTGTTGTAAACAATATTCTTAAAGGCTGATGCTTGAAATTTCTTCAGCAATGGTCTTATTTCTTAAAAATTTCATCATACTATAAACATGCATCAACAGACTGTTTTTACACAATTTACTCCAGTCCAAATTTTTGTGAATGTGATTAGTTGTAGAACCATTGAAAAAATTGTTTCCCTCACTATAGGCAAAAGTTTTTTTTCATGACTACATATTATTTCAAGGTGCCATTTCATTAGAACGTCTTTATGCGTGCTTTTATTCTGTATCTATAATTATTGGGGATTTTGTATTGTGTATTTTGTTGTATTTCTGCACATATACATGATTTGATTAGTGATCATTATCAGTATATATGCTAACATACTATAGGATTTAATACATTGGTGTTAATTTTGCAAAGGTGAATAAGATTGTTTTTTTGCACTGATTTTTCTCCTGTCTTTTTAATACTGGTGTATTCTTGTTTCGCTGAAATTTACAACTTAAAATGAGGAACGGGTGTAAGTGAATGGTGACTCTAGTTTCCAGTTTCTAGAAATCCTTTTCTAAAAGATAAGCATTATGTACAACAGTTCACTCTAATTTGTTTCACGACTATAGGCTATACTTGATAAAAATGAAAACAAGGTATTCGATCAATTACTTTCTTTGATACATTGATCAAATGTTTTTTGAGACTCAATATGACGTTTTTGATTAAGAGTAATAATTTGATGAGCCTGCTTGCCTACTTTAGCTTGGTTTCACGCGACCAACTCTTCATCACCATCTGATTTAGTTGATTTTTTTGCATTTAAAAACATCTCATCGTGACTCAATTCTATTTTATATACAAAATGTAACACATCCAAGAATTTTAGGTTTAGATAACTTGCTTGACTTCATTTACGAGATTTAGTCAAGTAATCTGACAGATATACATACAAGCGTGCCTTATATTGTAGAAGCGTTAACCATTCTCGAGTTAACACCACAGTTTTTATGTGCCTAACGGTAAGACCCTAATTTTACTATACTTGGTAATTTTTACAAAAATGCCCTGGTACAGCCGAGTCCTCTTTCCCTCCCGAAATACTCTCACATGACCACGCGTATACACCTACTGCCAGAGAAGTCCTACTCACTGCCTTCTCGCGGCGAGGGTGTTGTTTACATAATTGAGAGTACGAAAAACAAATGTCCGGTGCTTTAACCAGGTTGGTGGATATGGAAGATCCACCTAAGGGAGTTGGAAAACTCTGTTTCCAAACCAATGGTACATATGAGCTCCTGGATCCAGAGGGAACAAATGACGTATAAAACAATTATTGGTCACCAGCTACCATTGGACTGCATCTCCTGACTTTGCTCCACCTCCTCGTGGATCAGACCTTTAGGTCGAAGGCTCCAATTGTTGCCCCATCTGTTTCGGTCTGGGCACTCTGGCAGTATCACTGCCATAGGCCGCCCACCATCATTCTTCATCGAACTCTGTCCTGGATAATCCTTTCCATTTTCTGTTCATCCTTTTGATGTCTGCTTCCAATTATTGGCACAGTGTGTTCTGTGTTCTTCCTCTTTTTCGTTTCCCTTCAGGATTCTAAGTTAGCGCTTGCTTCGTGGTGTTATTACTATTATATAAAAAATGTATTAGCATGTTTTTTCCTGATTAATTGTCCATTTATGTTCCGGTTCGTTCTTTCTTTTTTCTCTCTATTAAGTGCTTGTATAATAATTTCTTTAATATTTATAACAATTTTAATGTACCAAATAACAATGTTTGTGCATTTCATGTAAGAGTTTATGGTGATTTTGAACGGATAAACATTGCATCGATTTAACTTTTCTGTTTATTTATTTTTGTATCTGAATATGACATTTCTAGTACTTTTATTGTTATTATTATTATTATTATTATTATTATTATTATTATTATTATTATTATTATTATTATTATTATTATTATTATTATTATTATTATTATTAGTGATTGTGTGCCAAAACAGAAAAATTGATTTAATGACTCTTATAGTTGTGTTAAACAACAGGATATTAATAATCTGTTTCTCTTGAAATCTCTTTTCTTTGTTGATTATTCATTTATTTGTTTATTTATGTATTGATTGGTAGTTGTTATTGAGTGAATAGAAAACAGCATTTCACACGATAGAGTACACATCAAAGAAGCGTTTATGTTAATATGTCAACTAGCATATATGTTTGTACATGGTTTTTCACTTTGATTCTTCAGTGAAATTAATCTCGTTAATCAGTGGCGGTTTCTTTTTTCATGCTTTATATGGTTTGTAATCAATGAACACCATTTCTCTTCTTATTAGTTACAGTTTTGACCTGTCCATTATCCAATTTCTAATTTTCCATCAAATAGGAAACAATTAAAAGTTTATCATTTTGTGTGTCATCACTAAAAATGTTTGTATACAGTATGATGATTGTTTAGTGCTTTATGAAAATGTAGTACTTTACTATGATTCCATGAAATATTAATTACAATGTTGTTCTCGTTTAAATGCAATCTAAAACCAAATGAATTAATTACACTGCTTAAAGTAATTCAAAAATAACTTTCATATTAAACTATTTAACACATTTTGTACTATCAGCAAAATGGATGGTAGCTTGCAGTGAAATAAATCCAAGATGCGTTTTTCGTCCTATTTGGGACTAGTCTTTAGCTAGATGTACCTGCAACCTACTTCACTTCGAGACTCGAACCCAGTGTCGTTCGGTTCAAATGCCATCACGTTATCCTTATAACTACTGAGTCCAGAAAATCACTAGCTTGTACAATGGGGTGACAAGAGACTGATCAATTGCAGTCCTAAACATCAATGTGTAAGACCTAAAAAAAAACAATACAAAAATGAACATTTTGTACTGTTCAAACGGTTTTCTATTCAATGATTTAAACTACGAATGAAGCTTGCATTTTGACTCTCGTCAACATCGACTAAACTAACAAAGTGGTTTGTATGATTCGTTGATGAGTCCAGTTGGAATGACCTACTTACTTCCAGTAACCTTTATTTATTCCATGTATGTATTCATGTACACTGCAATCTCTGATGATGATTCATTAAAGTATGTTGTTTTTGTGGTTTTTTCATTCCAAAAGACTTTACAATAACCTGAAATACAATTAGATTTGTAGTTTTGTGTCTCTTTTACAATTATGTCATATGATTATTACAAATATATTATTTCTGCCATTGTATAATCGTTGTTTCCATTAACCAAGTAATAGCTGTTTTTCAACTATGCTCGTCAAAGATTTGAACGCTTCATTCGACTCTTTTGTGGATAAAGACTATCAGATAATATCTTTATTAGCATTCATACTACAGCTAATGCATGAGGCGTAATAGCTGTGTGTACATATGATTTGGATTATTCTAACTCTTTTGTTATTAATAGATATACGTGGATTTTCATTACTGGATAGTTATAAAATACAAAATGATATCAGTTAGACTTTTTTTTTACTGTTTATGATTTTCAGCATATATGTATGTGTGCATATAAACTGTCGTTGAACATAACTTATATTTATGTATTTCATGTCAGTTTATCAATTTATAATTATTGATAAGTGAATTATACATTTTCAATTTACAAATTTTTGTACTTGTTGGTCCGTTTATATACCTATTAAGCTAGCATAATCGTATACTGATTTGTTTTTTTAATTATCTAATACATGTATTGTATATCTTATTGAATTCAGTACTTGAATTGTTCATACCGTATCAATATTTCCTTCTATTTGCTGCTGGGACCACCCCAATTTTCAGGTGATGAGAATACAAATGAATTTATCGCTACTCAAACTAGTTCTGTCTTGGAAACTATCTCCCCAAAATCTATGCAAAATGTAAGTATGTAAATGTTAATTTCGGTTTAATGTCTTCTCACTTTATTTAATAGTCCGTCTATTAATCAAGCAACGAATAAAATACTCAACAATTTACTCTGTATTACCCCTTGCATGTGGAAGTAAGAGACGTGCATGTATTTACTTACAGTTGTCTTTGAAACACTACTCGATTGAAGGGAACAATTGAGTAAACAATGATGTGTTTGGAATGAGGTTCTAAGAAAGGATAGCGACCAGTTGCTGAGGTTGTAAATCTTCTCTGACTTAGTTGTCTGAGATATACGTTACATATATTCAACCATTGCTTACCGCGATGCGCAGTTATTCATAGAGTAAGAGAGCTAAACCTGGGTAAACCAAAACAAAGTATCAGTCAGTAAGAGCTCTCTGATTGAGCCATATTAGTAGTTGATAGCTGGCCTGACTAGGATCCACACGATAACTTCAACCTGTAGTTGAAAACGTCCGGTGACAGAGCTCTAAATTGACTGCAGAGGCATTCTCACTTTATCTTCACCTTTTTTTGAGTTTCCCTATTCTTTTCTACAAATGTTTTCATTGTTTCTTGAGTCATATGTTCAATATTTAATCTTTTTCACTGTCGATTAACTTCTTTAATACTCGTTGTTTTTTAATTGGATTACTGTGTTGATGTAGTAAAAGAACTTGAAGCATTGCCCATTATTGTTAGTCTTTACGCTAATTATAACTGACTGATTGTTTATGCGTAATTGGACTTTTCTGTGAATTCTAGCTCTATTTGTGTAGTATAATATGAGTGTTGTTTTCTTAAGTAATTAATATATTATCTACTTAGTTGTTTTGTTTCAATGCTTTTTTTCCTACACGTGAAAACAATGCTGAAAATATATCGATATAATCATTTAGATAAAGTTTATTTCCGTTCTCATACAATAAATATTTGTTTGTAGAGAATGAGAAAGAAAGCTAATATCAGTAATTTTTATGTAAAGGATTTGTTTGTGTCTGTCTATAATATACTATACTATACTAATTGGTAATGATAGTATGTCATTATTAAGAGAATAATAGTAATAATGTTTTATCCTATGAATGATTTCGTGATTAATTGGACTATTGATAACATAATTGATAACATTGATAACATAATAGAACTAGTTATTTTCAGTTTTATGATCAATATCATGAAAATTCATCAATTTTCTGTCATATGCTTAAAATAAAAGTTGATTATTGTCATATTCCATAGAACTCTGATTAGTATTTCATACTAACTTTTCTAAGTTATAGATTCGTGAAGGTTGTTGAGTTTTAATTAAGATCATGAACCGATCAATATTCAACCACCATTTAAAAACTAGAAGCATGGGACAACCGTTAACACCGTTTTATGCCGAGTTATTGGTTTGAAGGTTAAGCGTTCGTGCGCGAGATTGAACGCCATGGGTTCGAATAACGCGTGCACGATCGTTGATATGGACTGCTAAGTAGTCTCATGCTAAGACGATACGAGCGTCCAGTGCTTCCAGGTTTTTAATGGTAATCTAACATTGATCAGTTCATGATTTAAACTAAAACAGACACTCCTGTTTAACTCTATTCATTCATTCAGGACAAAATATTTAAGCATATATAACAGTTAAGAACTCTTTGTAATATTTTTATTTCACTAATTTATATTTTCTTTAATGATATCTTCCAAACCTAATCTTTTCTGTTACCATTCTTATTTTTCCTTCCTTTACTATTCTGGGATTTCCCCTAACAGTTTCATCCAGTGAGATATGACAACTTGAACCTATGTCTATACGTACCATATTATACGTTGCGACTGACTAAGGTTTACTTTTCTAAATTTACCTCAGCTAACTAACAATTTTATCACAGATATAAAATTTAATATCCACCCAACAAAGTATATTTTTCATTTGAAAATAATATCATTATCGCTTGTCTAACATATAGATTGTTTACAGAAAAATTAATGTTGTATATGAATTTGTAGAGTTTACTTTCGTTCATCGTTCAATATTAATTGAGTATATCTTGATATTGAATTAATTTTTCACTATATATAGTTATATTTGTTTGTATCTTTTTCCCTCTCGGAACAAAACAAAATTCGTTTCTAGACTGAAGTTCAAATGTTCGGAGAAAGTGGTCAACCTGATGGTGATTGGGATTTGGAAGTAGACAATATGGCGGTTATTAAGAAACCAATTAATACAGGGTAGATTTTCAAATGTTTAGTTATATATAATGTAGATGTCTAAAGCTTTTTAATATACTTTACTTTTTTGTCGTTTATATATTGCGTAACTGTCGAGTCAATCAAATATCATAAATATATCCGGTGCTTGAACATTCGATACTGACTTTTTAAGCGCTTCCTAGTTCCTTTAGAAATCTTCACTTTAGTTTCGAATACAGGGCATAAGGCGAAACTTTTAAGAGGTTTATTTCTAAGGTTAGTTTAGATTCAGAACGCTAAGATATTTACGGGTTGGTATTCTGAAAAATCAATAACTAAATCAGCAATCATCCCATAAGAATATGATACATAGTCCGTTGGTTTTAAATATCTCGAGGAAGTTTCTACCGAACGCTAATTTTACTAAGTATCTTCAGTCTTTTCTAAGCATCTGAAGACTTTCCTGATGAATTCCTGCCGAGTCCCAGTAAACCATATATACTAGGAACAGCAGCATTTGTTTCGCTATTAGTCTGAAAGAATTCTTGCCAAAACTTTCTGTGAATTGTAGTTTATCTTGAAAGAATTCACCAGAATTATATTAAAACATTTAACTATGCCTAAATCAAGTTTGTGACCGGCCAATCTGATGTCATTTGCATCCATTTAAGTAAATTTTAAGCAGTTATTGTATAATATATACAAAGTTTAAATATGTTCTTCGCAGTTCTTGTTACAGAGAGAGAGAGATGTACAGTGTGTAATTCAGCTGACAATTTCATACTCGGATGTGTATAGTTCGAAAAGTTTGTTGATTCTATTACAAGTTAATTGTAAATCATTATCAAAGATAAAACCTGTCGAATAAATGAGTTGAACTGTATTTGTCTGTCCGTTAAACTACAATACTTATTAAGATTTACTTGAGATTTATGTGAAGTATTCATTCTATTTCTTAAATTCGACATCTTTGATCTGTTTACTATGTTCAACATGATCATCATTAGTTTTACATGTACATTTTTTAACTGCTTTACATTAAAAACGACAAATAGATTTTTAGTTTCATTCATTGCGGATGCTCGCGGAGGTCTAATTCAAGCAAGACGTTATCCTGATCTTAGGATATTTATTCCTCCAAATGTTATCAATGGTCCACTTCGTATTGTTTGTCGTCTAGTTCATCCTGATCGAATGAATTCACCACCAATTATGAATGATGGTGATGGTTTAGCCTGTCGGTGAGTTTTACTCTTTAATAGAAATAAATCAGTGTTCACATAAACAAGTTACTTATCAATTACTTGGATATAAGAATGAATAATTTCACAATTAAAGTTTTTTTGGCTCAAGTAGTTTATTGTTATTGATTGACAAGTTTAACTACATAGTGAAAATTTTCAGTTCAAAGTTTAATCCACTGAAATACTAATCCTTCCTCAAATAATATTCATTACAGCTATTTGAAGATAGCTAACGTAAGAAATGTTTGTTTGATCTGTCTAAATCCTTAACATCATAGTTACTTTGTGTATGTTTCCATTCTTTGTCTAAATATGTCGATGTCATTGACTTTAACATTTAAAAAAAATACTGATTTTCGCTTTGATCTTTAATACTTGAATTATATTTCTGATATTTAGATCTCCGTTTTGTTTTCTTGTAATTCGTCCTCTTTTTCTTATGTTGCTAATTTCCTCTCTCGTTATTCTGATATGTGGACGTTAACATATGTTCGCACCAGTTTGTACTTTACTTAAAATCGATTAACTTCTCCAATAACATAGTTACGTTTTGCAAATCAGTTTCAACTTTTTAGGATGTCTTTTTACAGCACAACTAAGCAGTTCCAGTCAGTTTCATACTTTTCGGATTACAGTTGTGTGTCATAGCCCGAAAACCATTTTGATTTGAAAAAATTATTCGAATCGCGCGTCCGGAGTCATGGATGTGCACTACCGAGGTGTCCCATACTAGAACGAAACGGTCGTTCACTGCTTCCAGGTTTCCAATGATGGTCTTGCTTATATCGACCCATGAATTCAACTATCAAAATTACTACAACCATAACTCATTAATCTGGTTAGAAATGTATATGTGCATACTGCGTGTATTGCCTCAATATTGTCTTAATTCACAATTAATATAAGCAAAGATGGACAGCTGCTAGCAGTGGAATCCAGGATGCGGGTTTCGTCATATTTTGGACTCGTCAGTCAGATGTGTCTGCATCTCAAAGTTGATGTTCACTCTGAGACTCGAACCTAGTACCGTTTGCTTCAAATGCCATCGCACTATCCACTTAGCTACTGAGTCCTGATAACCACTTGCTTGTTCTTAAACGGGATTTAGACTCAGTGAAAACATTTTAGGAAATCATATATACTCAGCTGTTGCACTGTGCGTTTTAGCATTACATCATTAGTACTTGTGATTGTTTCAAACATCACTACTAAAGTGTAAAAAAAATTATTTTTTGTAACCTCATTTATTAATCTATTTCGTGCAGGTTACTTGAAATCGGACCCGCTGGTATACGATTCGCTTCACCTATTCTCTTGGAAATACCACATTATGCTTTCTTAAATGGGAAAAATCGTGAGATTGTTATCCTCCGTTCAGATAATGGTGAAACATGGAAAGAGCATCCATTGGATGCTACAGACCAAGCTGTTCAAGACACTTTGAATGGACATTTTGGTAAACTCTTTCGTTAGGTTTTTTTTCGTTCGAAAAAATTCGTTAAATGTAATTGGTACAGCAAATCAATTCTGAAATCATTAAATCTATATCTACTACTTGCCTATTGTATCAATCACGTTTAAGTATTAACTGAATCGGAACATGATCTCAGTCTTATAACCTTCATTCCTCTTTATATATCCACTTAGTTGGGTCACAAAATTATGAAGGTCACAAATTACTGGTTCGTTTATACCTTTATGACCTAAAATATGAATCTTTGATCCTACTGGTTTAAACACCGCTTTCTCTATCTCCCCAATCGTAAATCAGAAGTTAAATACGACAAACCTTTTTTATTATTAATGTATTATTATGCACAACTTAAAGTCAACTAGATTACGTGCATTAATTAAGTCATCTCAGTTGAGAAATCAGAACTTGTATTTAACCAAGTCATACGTAAAACACAATATAACAGTAAGTGAATAATCTTTCTCAAATATCCTTTCTGATTCAACAGTTTAACTATGTATGTGATATCCTTAACTGTTTCAACCCCTCATACTACATATCAACTAGAGTTAATGTTGCAGCAGAAAATTCGTTATTATACTTCAAACGTGTTAGCTCAATTCAGTTGTACTTTCCTTTACGTATTGTAATATGTGTTAGTCATTACACTCATTTGTTCATCTTGTCTAATCTTATCGTTTCATTGTAATTTAGTCGACGTTACTTTGTATCACGGTCTTACTTTTCTTTTTTTTCACGTGACATCATGATCTCATTAATACATTATTACTTCATATTTTACTTGGTTAAAAATAATCCGAACTTTTCTCCACATTTCATCTATGGTATAATTAAATTTGATTTTAGATTACGTTGGATCATTTGAAGAATTACGTGCTAAGTCAATACATCGTATTTTAACATATGATCTACCACAATATTTCGCACTTATTACACGTATTAAGCAAGAATTAATTTTAATTGGTCCAGAAGGCGGTACATTAACATCTACAGTTGTACCAGACGTACATGTTCGTTTTCCTCAAGGTGCTTTACAAAAACGTATACGTGTTGGTTTACAAGTACATCCAGTTGATCATGAACTTGTAACAAGAATGCTTGGTCCACGTGTCTCTGTATCACCGATTGTAACAATTGAACCACGCAGACGTAAATTCCATAAACCAATTACCTTGACTATACCATTACCAAAAACAGCTATGTCATCCTCTAGCGGTGTTGCTGACACTAAATCTCGTTCAACTATCGATTCACCTAGTCTTCGATTACTGTGCTCGATTACGGGTGGGACATCACCTGCTGTTTGGGAAGATATTACTGGTAGTTCTCCGTTATCTGCACACGATCTTTCTGTTTCATTTACATCTACAGTATCTGCAAGGTAACTGACCTAATTTATTAAATTGAGGGATATGTACATAAATTCATCTACTCAATAATTTACTGACTATTTTACAATATATAACCTTGCGTCATTGGTTTCCCAAATATGCGTAATCCAATATATATATATATATATATATATATATATATATATATATATATATATATATATATATATATATATATATATATATATATATATATATATATATATATTACCATGACTTTGTACTGTCCAGTAAAAGTTGTAAACTAATTGTCTAGGTTTGTCTGCCACATTCCACTTTGAGATGTGGTGACTTGATAGTTTGAGCACTTGTGTTTCCAACCACATTCAGTATACTCAACCCTACTAACAAGATTATTACAACTAACATTCACATTGTGTACACATTATTTAAACCATGAAGGTAAGTTTTATTATTATTAATAGTGGTAGTGTAGTGAACGAAGACTTGGTGGGCACTACCCATTTTTTATTTAGTACAAAATTATAGAGTTCTTTCTCCTATCAATTGTCTCAAACTCCATTGTTCCTTCATTGCTATTGCACTTACTCTCTGTTCACATTCCCGTCCCCTTCAATTTGATCTTCTCATCCATCTGCTGTCAGGCATACCACTTCTGATTTGTGTTACATATTACTTTTGCTTGTCGACATAACTAGCATACGCCACATTAGCAGTATAGCCGATCACCTTGGAATTAGCAAGATTACAATTTTTGAAATTTACCTTTTTGATCTCGTTCCGAGTACTCATGGTAGTGTTGTTAGCTTCGGTCACTTGACATATATGGCTTTTAACAACTCATGTGTATTCACCATCTTGATAACTTTTTTCAGGGAACAATTGATTGATCATCACTACATTTCTAATCGATTTTTAAAATACATTAATTAAAGTTTCACACGCCTACTTTGTCATCCATAACTATAATTATTAACGTATTTTTTTTCAAAGATAGATTTTTATGATTTATTCATCTTGTGTTATTGGAAGCAGTATGTGATCTCATCTACTATGTGTTTCTTTAAAAAAAAAAACTATAGATTATGGCTCGTAGATTGTCCTAATATTACTGAAGTTGTTGAATTAGCCAGCCGTGTTTATCATGAATCATTGGCAGTGCCTTATATTGGGCAATTTATAGTGTATGCTCGTAGATTCCATCCTGAAGAAGCTCAATTACGTTGTCTTTGCCTTACCGATGATTCGGCAGAGAAAACACTTGAACTACAAGAAGGATTTCAACTAATAGCCACTGGACCATGCATTGAGGTAAATGACTGAATGAAATTTGATATTTAAATAAACTCTTGTTATGTATTTGAATGTTTTGACTGCTTATTAGTTGAGTAATTGTTTGGTTATTATTACTACTTTTCATTTTTTGACATTATTCGTTATAATAGGTTCTTGATGATCATCCACATTGGATTGAAACAGCTGGTAACTTAGTACCTGTTGCTAAAACTGAAGAACAATTACAATTGGGAATGCATGCGTTCCGTGAGAATCGTTTGAATATGATTGTACGTGTGAAAGATTTATCACAGCCGGCTGTTGGAAAATTAGCGTTTATGCGTCATCCTCGAGCTGTACTACAATCTGCTGGGTAAATGAATTGTTGTTCACTTTCGTTTATTGCACAAATTAGTATTTCTCACTGGAAATCGCCATGTTTTTAACTCGTCATTTTATTGCTTTGCAAATTAGACATCTTTATAGTTTCTTGCATTAATATATAACTTATCCTCTTTAGTTCATTAACATAAGTAAAACACTTTTACCATGTGCTCCGTGGTTGATTAATTCGTTAGTAATGAATACTGTAAGCAAGATTTAAATGAAAATTAGACCATCTATAAATTTAGGAATTTCTGTGTTGTCTTCATACATTCTCGTATATTTTCCAGTAATATGACATATCATAAAAGATGATAACTGTGCTCAGAGATGAACTAATCAAAACTTGTTGTTCAGTGATCCCTGTGAAAATTATTTCATTTTTATCTATTTTCCATACTACAAATAACACACGATGAGTCATGGCGATGGAAATTGGGATTTAGAAATTATAAATAGCAACAGACCTTAACTTCATTCTGAACTGTTTCATAAGTGTTGTTGATATCAGGTTACTACTACCAAATTTTTCTATGAATGTAGTTTTAACAACTAAATATGTTTTTTGGATAGTGATGATAGCACACCCAAAAAATTTTTATACGTTAAGAAAAATAAAGAATTCAGCGAATTTTTTTTCGACTGAATCACTTGCTCAAGCTGTACATTTGTATTTGTACTTGTATGGTAAATATCTGTTTATAGAAGGACAGAAAAGATTGCATGATGACGTGGTTCTAGACTTCAAATATCAAACGAGATTGCATAATAATCAGAGGGTTATAGAAATATGAAAATAATTTAAGGGTCTAAATTATGAAAGATAATTGTGGCCCCCTAAGAAAATTACCTCTTTCGGTTTAGATACCCTGAGAGTATTTCATCCCTTACACAAACCAAATGATTTGTGCGGTGCATATATTATTTTGTGTCTCCTTGTACCAATGTTTATGTGTTTAAATAAATAAAGAAATAACCCACTCAGCTACTGAGAAGCAAACGCTAGTTCTGTATTCCTCTGTTATTCAACATCCATCTTTGCTCATGGCCATGAACAATTGTTCATTGTTTGAAATTGTAAGACATTAATTAATTAATAAAGAAACACGACCAAGACATACTGCAGAACGGAATTAGAGCTAAGGAAGGATGATAAGTTGAACATATCGCTTTTGCGCGCCAGATTTCACTCTTAAATTGGTAGATCGCCAACACGTCATCAGTTCTCACGTTTTTGATTCGACCTCCGTTCTATCCAGTTCCTTTGATTGGTAGACTATTTTGTATTACAAAATATAAAATTATTCACTTAAGAATTTTCAGAGAATCATTTTGACTATTTTTAGAAAAGGATTTTCCAGTCGTACCACATTCTCATTGTTTATTATTTGTCATTATCATTTCTGCTACTATTATTTTGACCTCTTTGGCTATTTTATCTTGTTAATCTTATCTCGTGCTATTGTGATATGGAAACTTGGATCAACGTATATCTATGTCGTTCTTTACATTGTCTATGAGTAACTATGATTGACCATAAGAATCGCTTTTTATCGTCATTTCTCTTCAAAATTATTATCATTTATGAACTAGCTAATTGTGTCTAGTTTCGATCGGAATCATGTATTTTCCCCCTTTCTTTGTATGCATGTGCGTATGTGATTCGATGGCTTTATTTTGTAGACTTTTAAGCATTTGATTATATGAATACTTGATCAATGAATGTCATTGTTTACCAAAGAAAGCTGGTTTGATTGTTTTCAAGTTAAGTGTAATTTCTTATCCTTGTATATTTCTGATCAATTTTCTTTTTATTATCTACTAATTAAAATGTTTTTGTTTACAGTTTTCATAAATTTCAGTGTAATTTGAATAGAATGTGATAGTAGGTCATAAGTTCTGTATGACGTTTTGTTACAACGAGTAATAAATTTAGTCTGAGCACTAATATGGTAATTTCTGTGTCAACTTAATGTATTACACATATACTTGTAAAGTGATGTCTCAGTAATCAAGGAGTTTGATTCGCAGCCACCAAGTAATGAGTTTGAGCTCTACTCCATCTACTTTGGTTTAGACGACTGGATGGTATCACTAACTCTTACACTTATAGTGAGGCTTTAAGCTGAGTACACGAGTCTACCTGATAAATTCATACATTTTAATTTGAAACTGTTTCGACGGTCGATTAGTTTCATCGTTCATTTGTTCATAATTTGTCCACACTTGTATACTTATTCGTACAAATGTTTTTTTCTTTTTGTTAATTTATTATTTTACACATCTGTATTTAAATTTGTTTTATTCATACATAGGTCACCTGTAAAACCGGCAACAGTTCTAGAGGCTAAATTACCAGACGAATTTACTGATTACATGACTGATGGTGTATTAAAAACAACTGATATTGATGATATGCCACCTTATATTCCAGAATATAATCAAAATGGTGGTCAATACACCACATACAATGAATCGTTGCCGCAAACATGGTCAAAACAAGGTGAGTACTAATGTAAAGTGTTTTTTTTCTTTCCTGGTCGTATTATCTTATTATTGTTTCAAGATTATCCTAGAAGTAACATATTAGTGTTGAGTAATACGTTATCGACTGTATTATTACTATCATTACTTTGACTCATTCGCTATATATCTCGTTAATTTAATTCATTGTACTGATTTGATACAACAGGTTGGGGCAATCTATATTTATGCTGATAGATGACAACTAATTTACTAACTCATCCGCGTTTCTGTAACAGTGTTCGTTTTAATTATCGTAAATTAGGGGGATTTATGTTGACTTCCATAATCATGGTTGATCAAATGTATTTGGTGTTTTTTTGTCAACACTCAATTTAGTATATCAGAAAGTATAAAGAATTTTAAGCAATTCAAATTAAGATCTATTATATTTGTAACCAAATATTGCTATTTCTAGCTGTTATAAGTGATTTAACTGTCTATAAAATTGAAATTAGTACTTCTGGACAAAATAACATTGTAAATATGGTAAATAAATATCTGACAGTCATATTTCAAAGCTGCAGGGTATTCGCAATTGACTATTATAATCATTATTGGTTAATATTCACTGAGATTTACATTAAAAATGAACATAACGAAGTAACAGTATATTATGTACTAAACTTTAAAGTTCTTGGAATATAATTCACTTTGCGCATTGCTTGGATTATTTTTTTTAAATTCCCAAACTTAATGAATTTTGATTCAGGCAATATCGAGGCATTTTATACGGGATGCATACATGCCAATATGAGATTGATCAATCCCAGTCCTAAACATCAATGAGAAGATTCAAATAGCCAAAAAACAGTATATTAAAGATTAGTTTCGGACAACTCACTAAGATCGTTATTTCTGAATTTAAAAGTTGAAAGATGAGTGAGTGAGTGGTATAAAATTAATTACCAATTACAAGATAGACCATTCTCATTTTCTACCACACAAAGTGTGTAAGCTTATAGATATTCTTGATAATAATGTAAATGTGTATATTATAGTAAATTTGTTATAATTTATGGCACGGCAGTCTAGTGTTAGAGCCACTTGGTTTCTGAATGCTCAGACTCCGCCCTACGCATTTCAGGATGAACAGTCTAGTGATATCAACCAAGTATTACACATTACAAGATTATAATTCAAAGCTATGTACACAAATTTGTATTTGTTTTACATTAAATCAGCTTTTACTCATCTCTTGCTTTAAATAAGTAGATCATTACGATGAGCCATTAGCTAAATCTGAGCTTGATTTACGACAAGTTGCTTATCATTTAAAATCAGATTGGAGAATATTAGCTCAATGTTTAGGCTTGTCTGATGAAGATCAATATAATATTACTTCTTTGCCTAATCGTCCTGAAGAAGAATATGCTTATACTAGTTTATTGTTGTGGCAAGAACGTAATGGGAATGAATTAACTTCGGGTAAGTAATTAAACAAAATATGTATTTTTTTATGATATACGTTAATATAAGTAGAACTGTATTTTAATGACTAACATACTTAACTTTCATCTAGAAAATCGCAAATTAAGAGCCCACTCTCCATGTGATTCAGTTCGAGTCACTAGTTCCCGTAGGTGGTTGAAGTATAACACAACTTATCGACAAAATACTTAACATAACAATAAACATGATTAAGGATCATTATCAAAGCATCACTAATAATTGTAAGACATGAATTTTATAGACCATTTTCCATTGATGAAATTAAGATACCTAATTTATCATCAGATTTAAATGATTGTCCACCATATCGCAAATCCAATATATATAACATCAAATGGATTAACGTACATTCGATTATAAGGAGTACAGAGTAGGATGAAATGCACGCCCTGGATATCATTACTAATAACAATATAAAAATAGAATTGTTCTTACTTTCACAACAAAACTTTTATATGATGTAGCAGTAATTTATTTCAAATAATATTCAGCTTATTTTGTGAATGCATATAAAGTTAGAATAAACTGTTATCCGTTAAGTGTTACTGTAATAGGGACGGGTTATTCGATATAGTAAGTTAAATTTTCTGTTATTATCACCCAAATAACTAATTATTATGAGTAATTTCGAGACAAATTCCACGCAGGTTTTGTGGAATATGTGTTATGGCTTGTGTATTTAACCAGATCGATCGTGAATAAGCTATTACCGAAGAGATATTAAGAGCATCACGTTACATCGTGGTTTGACTCGGGTAAGAAACGTATCCCACTAGATTTCAAGTCAAAATATTGTATGGAAGCATTGCAATGATCGTAAGATCCTGAGGGTGTACATTAGATTCCATACGAGGATGTAAGTAGTCAATATTGATGATTATTGTTGACAAGTGTCACATGTGTATGCCTAGCTTGAGTTGAATTTCATGTTTTCTATTGAATTTATAAGCAAGTATTATTATTATTATTATTTAAACACATAAATATTGGAACAAGGAGGCACCAAATATATATGCGCCATATAAATCATTCGATTTGTGTGAGGACTGGGATTCTGCCAGGGTTCCCAAATCGAAACAGGTGGCTTTCTTATGGACCCATATCCCGAGCGTCTGACCTAAAAGTCCAATTCACAAGGCAGTGGAGAAACGTCAGGAGATGCAGTCCCATGGTAGCCGGTGACCAACAATAGGTTCATACGCCATTGGTTCCTTCAGGATCCATAAGCCCATGTACACCATTGGATAGGTGGATCCTTTGTATCCACCAACCTGGTCAAAGTGCAGGATATTTGCTTTTCGTCCTCGCAGTTTCGTAAACAACAGTAATGCCACTAGAAGGCAATGAATAGGACCTCCTTGGCAGTTGTTGTATGCACGTAGCCATGTGAGAGCATTTCGAGAGGAAGAGCTGATTGTCCTCACTCTCAATTGTATCAAGCCATTCGGGTTCTAACTTATATACATATCATTGTAAATAAATTTATACCATTTTATCTCTTCCTAGGTACGCAGCTTGCCGAAGCACTACAAGCTATCGGTCGTAAAGATATATTGGAATATTGTATGACTAACATTTCGCCTGTAATAACAGCTGATGAACGGGTTGCTGCTTTACGTTCATTGAATGGTAATTTGTTGTATTTTGAGGTTATTTTCTTTGACATATTTTAGTTGAGGCAAGAAATAATTTCAGTCCCTTGATATATTTTTTATTATTTAAAATATTAACTGATTTAAACAGTTGTTGTAAAAACTAAAGACGATTTGTCGAAGCATTCAAGCGAAATTCTGTGATTTCAACCAAGAGGTCGGTGTCCTAGATCAGATTATCTAAGAAGGCTTTTGTCTCATATGTGACAGTTGACCCGAAGTTATTGAAAGATGTTTGCTTTTTGATGGAGTTTTGTGGAGAATTTCGAACGTCTAGCTTTTATCTGAAGTGTGTGTTGATGATGTCGTTCAGAAGAACGATGAAAGCTCCACGACGAACCATCCAGTTCAGAGATCATAATCATCCATCCTAGCTACAAATCTTCTCCTCCATCTCAAAGATGGTTGCTATATAGACCCTTAGTTTACACCAATTTTTATCGCAAAGATTATCTACCTAAAGTGTGTTTGACAACAAAATAAATTAAAGAGCGATTTTATTTGGTGGAGTTTCGTCCTGTGAACTGAATAGTTTTGTCCCCGAACGGAATCCTACTAAAAAAATAATCTATCTGGGTTATTAATCTTTAATTCTTTTTATAAGTTATAAGAGCAACTGCTTATTGTGAAATTTCATTCCTTAATAAATAAAAAACAAGTTAAATGGTTCAATGATACTGCAAATCATATATTCAGTACCAACAAGCACCCATATGAATAAATAAAAAAATGTTTTATTTAGAACTAATAGTGACATGAATACTCCTTAATTTACATGTTTCAGACTAAAGATTATTTTCTTTGTGGGGTGTCACTTTTGATAATTAATAGCAGTCAAGTCCAAGTATATTTTAAAAGTTTTGTCAGATATTTGTACGAACATTTGCAAAGTGCTCTGTTGCCATTGTTACATTCCTAGTGATTTGACGATATCAATAATTTTCTGTATTTTATATGAAAATATGCAGCTCATATCAGACGGATAATTAATATAATTTGTATAGATTTTGCTGTGAAACAGTTCTTATTTACTGAAAAATATGTATCAACTTCTTAAAATAGAGAAACTGATAAAATCGAATCCAAATGACGTTGAATAAAAAGTGAAATGATACTAATGAATTTCCCCATATAAATCTGAATTGGATCAACTCTTATACGAGCATTACTGATTCTAAGGGATTAGATACACTATAGGTGACCGTGAAATGGGTCATGTTGTGTTCAGTTTGAAGGCGCGTCGGTATGTACTGTCCAGAAATTCTGAGTATTATTGATGAAACGAAATATAGTATCAGCTAGTAATGTCTATACATAGTTTTAGCTATTGCAATTTGTTTATTGTAGTTATTTTCGCTTTTATTTTGAATAGCCGTTTCGCCCAATTTAAATATTAATCGTGAAAATCGATCTCATTCAAAAGAGGGCAGTGGTGGTTTGAGTGAATCAGTTGATACAGGTTATGGCACACAAACCGGATCTACCACGCTAATACCAACAACACCAGTGATTACAAAGACAATTTCATCAACAATTCATACACTACCCACTTCAAGCAATGTAGATAATTCTAAACAATCTGAGAAAGAAGTGGAGCAAGAAATTATACAACCAGTTACTGTGACCAGTGGTCGAATTTATTCAGGATCATTACCATATGTGGGAAAATCTATTACTGATGTTCCTGAAGACAAATATGATGTATTAAAAGGAGTTGAAAATATTCTGGTTGATAGTCAACATTCGACTATAGAAGAAGATGATAAAATAAATTCCACTTCTACTGGACGTGAGTTTAGCGAATCGTTTCTCTTTTTCATTTGTAAGTTATAATATGATATGATATAATTATTTCCTTGCCATAACTGGCTACTATCATTCGTGGAACTATTCCAACTAGGAAGCAGTCAATGATGTGCAAATAATGTGTTTAATGTATGTTTTTCACATTTTACTAAGCTACTCTGTGATTTTTCGTTAAAACAATAAATTGGTTTTTACCTACTAGACTGCTTTGTTCACAACACCAATAGTGATAAGAACAATAAAATATGAAAAGTTATAATCAATAGTTCAACTGAGGAAGTAGGTCAAATTGACATATCATGTACTACGAGTTATTATTTCGATTTCGACTAATTTATTTACACCAGCCACTACTTCAGTTTCTAACCTTTTTCACAATAACTACTTTTTACATGAATGCACTAATTCGTCATTAATCAGTAATCGGCTTATTTTAATGTCCTTCAGTTACAACACTTTAGATTTTATATTAAGCAATTGGGGATAGTCGACCGGAACTTCGAACTTATTATAGGGTATACATATGATATGATTTGCAAAGTTGAAACGGTAAACATTTTTCCCAAGTCCAACATTGATCATCGGTACTTTCAAGATTTTACGTATGCCTTACTGACAAATGCCAACTATCATGAAGGTACTGACTATATTCAATCACTTAATATCAAAGTATAGTGGATTTGTTGTCAAGTTACTTAGATTGATGGACACTGCAATTTGATCGATGGAATCCAATCAACACTAAAGGAATGGATTGGCCACTACTCATTGATCGATCGATTTTAAATATATCGGTTTTAAAGAATTTGATTCCCTCTGGGTTACAAATACAGCTTTCTGATGATTGCCAGCTCACACGAAACCTAAATCCAGGTTTATCTGTCGATTACCTCTAACTACAACCTCTGAAGACAGTTATCACTATGCATTGACTTTATCATATTCAAGAACTGTTGAAGATCAGGCAGCAATGGATGAACTTTCCTTTCTGGTTTTAGATTCGAGATGAAAAATGTAGATTATTGAGTGTCAGTCCAATGATTTGAATACTTCTCCTCCCAAGCTATGATATAACACTTTGATACTGTTACTCAGTTTCAGCCGAAGTTACACAACATAATTACTTACAGTTAGATTGTTTGCAGCCCAAAAAAGGTTGCACAGTAAAAGTTTGTGATGACAATGGCAGTACATTTGAAAATAATTGGAATCTCAGTTTAATTCTAGATGAACAATGGTTGAAAACCGTAGATAAGAGAGTTCACTGAAGGCAATTGTTCCGTTTATTTCTGTTGTTCACTTTTCTTATTAACGCATCAAATGCTTTTAGCTTCTTTTTCCTCATCTAAACGTAGTTTATATTTCTAAAATTTTGTTTTATTTTCACTTTAGCTCCGGTCAATGAAGAAATAGTTGTCCCTACTCAAATTAATCGCAATGTTCAACTAAATCGTACAGACGATACGATTAATAATAGTAATAATATTCATAAACAAACTGAAAAAGATAGTGATTTATCAAACATTTATCCAGATGGTAAGTTACCCTTTGAATAGATATAGGCACACCGGCATTGATGGATTATCATGTTCATCATTCATAATGATGTGAGGTCTGTAGTTATAATTGTTTTATATCTTTATAAATTAGTGTTGTCTTATCAATTGCTATTTCTGCCGTTTTGTTCTTTTTTTCTTCTTTATTTATTTGTGCCTCATTAAGTCTAAAAGTTTTACTGTTAATTTGAAACGCGATAGTTTAACTTAATCATTGCAAATTTCGACTTATAACTTACTATCCAACCGCGCTTTTAAACTCTAATCTACCTGTTTCAGTTTGAGCATCTTAATGACCTTGACACCCATAAAGCTTTTATATATACATTGAGATTACAATTGTCAGATAAATGAATTACAATAATTTGTAGCTCATATTTTGATCAGCTAATAATGCGTCCATAAATAATGGTAATATTTCAATTACGTCCGATAAAACCAGCTAATAATTTATTATAAAACTTTATGTGGTACTAAACAAATGTCTCTGTAAATAATTGTAACTCATTCACTAAGGAGATATTCATGTACACTAGGCTTTGAACGATGCTTTGTGTGCATTTGTGTGTGAGCTAGTGATATTTCATGGCTGTTCAAATCCAAATAGGTGGAGGAGTGTTTGGACTTTTACGACGTTTTGTCGCTCTTTGAGCCATTAAGTCAACAATTTGTAAACATATTATCATAAACCTTTTTATTGATATGTACATGATCATTTTACACTTAATTATTCATTATTATTTGCTCACTACCAAACACAGATTCGTGTAATTGGCTTAAAATCACGCTTTAAGCTTAAGAGCTAGAGTGAACCGAAATTCGAATCTGCGACTTAAGAGTAACCTAAAATTGAACATCTTCATCACTAAGCCACAGCTGTACTTTAGTGCATTCGATAGGTTAATTCTTCGATCAGCACTCAATAGACTAGACAAACATGACACTTGTCACTACTAATTGATCAGTCATTTTAAACATTTTAATTCTGTGGAGAAGGTCAGTTATAACCCACATAGATCATTGATAACATCTCTCTCTTTCTCTCTGATTGTGATAACTTAGTTTCCGATACGCTTAACTGTATGACTAGTGCCAACTTATGTCTAAGTCAGCTTCTTATTGATAATGAACTCCAAACATATCTAAGAGACTAATATCGCTCTCTCTTCAGTGTCACTATGTAAAATTTAAATTTTCGCACATACATACGCACACATGTTTCATATTTGTAGTAATGTTACATAACAACATTTACATCATTATATGAATCCTACAAACACTCTTCAATAGAAATGTATATTTCTTACTTGTGTCTACTGAATAGAGGAAAAAATCTAGTTTTTTTTCGCCAATTATCAACGAAATCGACATTTGAAGAGAAAACATTTTCACAACATCATTTCATATATCAAACTGTTCTTAATTATTATATAAATGCCACAATATAACTTTATCCTATGTGTATACTCTTCTATTTACACACATATTATACATTTTGTTCGACTTTATTTCTCTAATAAATATGAATCAAAACTGTCAATAAATTAGGTGAGTGGGTTTTTCCGGTTTTCATTTGTTCTATTTATTAGATATAATTGTTTGTCTTTACTTTCTATTCAGTTTAAAAAAAATATACAAATGAAGACTATTTTGTATCATTAATTTGAGATTTCATTTGAATTACCTATAATAATACCATTATACAATACATGATTTATTTATGTGTGTATAAACACGCATAGTTTTTCTTTCTTGCTATAAGCAATATTTCAATATTGTAAACAGTTATTTTGTTTAGTTTGTTTGTTTTTGGCTCATTTTTATTTACGGTTAGAGATGTTTAGATGAATTAGATTTTTTGGCTAACAAAGTTGTTAATGAATAAGGATGAATCGATAATTTTCTTATATACATGTATAAGTCTGTTTGTGTTAGACCTTGCTCCATACACAGCTATATATAAACATATATGGTTTATTCATCATTTTTAACAATTTTCTTCATCACCATTGTTATTGTCGTCATTGCTCTTCTCATCATCATATGTGTATTATTACAACGGAACAATTGTTTAATTAGTTGAGTGTAAGAAAATAACTTGGATCTCATCTACATGTTGTCAATTGATTTGTGAATATTTTCCTGTATGGGTGTGTTTGCCCACATGTTTGTTTGTAATCATATTACACTGTTAAATTATTTATATATTTCCAGTTTTGCACTTATACTCTTATACGTGCATATATATCCATCTATCTATTTATATGTGTATACACCTTTATACTCATAAATACATCGTCTGGCGATGGTGTCTATTTGCTATGGATTCATATTCAATACAGTTCAATTGATCAAAGCACTTATATATTCACATATAACATATATATCTACATATATTTCGACTGTTGATCATTATTCGTGGTGTTGCTAACACGTTTGCTAGGCAAGTTTAATTGTTTTAATCAAATTTTTGTTATAGATTGTTGTAACGTAATTATATATCTCTTTTTTTTTCAATGCATGCGTGTATTTGGTGATATTTTATTTACTATGCAAAATATGTTTTTTGTGCGTGTATTCATTTATTCTAATTATGCAAAGCGTAGCACTTAGTATTTTATGCGTACATGTGAGTGATTGAGTGAGTGGAGTATTTAAGTAGCGCTATCTAATTTTTTATTGACAAATATTATAATTTGCGCGTTTGTTTATTTACCAGAGCCCTGTAGACTGTTTGCTTTATTTTTTTATCGATAATGCTATTTGATAGGTCAATGAGCCTACACCAATAGAATGTTTTCCTTCTCATGAAGTTTAAGGGATTTCATTTGAATATTTTGTTAGATCATCAGTGAGTTGAAAAACTATTGAAAACCAAACCAGAAATTAAGAGATAGTTTTCTAAATCTCAAATGATTACATATCTCGGATTCAGACTTCAAAGATTTGAGTTGCAACCGTCCTTCGCTGTACTATGGTGACTTTCAATCATCAATATAGACTCATTTAAAGTACTTAGATGAACTTAATAAATCAAATTAATTGGACTCCTAAAAAATATCAACTTAAATAAAGCGTCGTGTTATGTCTTTTGCCCCCGTTAATTAACACGTGATAAAGTCACCAATCACAATGTCTACTTATTTGACCTTATTCTTGTGCTAAAAAAGTGACACGTCTAACTGTTGTGATTCAGTTAGTCAGTCAGTAACAACGTAGAACTTCATACGTACGTTCAAGTTGCCATACCACATTAGCACAGAAATGCAGTTGTCGATTCAAATCCGTTAGTGGTAGAGGTAGTAAGAGTATAAGCAGTAATCGGAAAGATTAGGGTTTGAAGATGTTATTCAGTGAGTATAATACAGTGAGATAAATTTGGGACGAGGAAAAAAGCAGCATGAAGAATTCAGAAAATTATAATCTGGGAGAACACAAAGAGTGGATGCACCTGCGCAAACGATTTTTGTGTCCTAGAACCTGACGTAGTGTGATTTTCTGGCCTATACAACCACGTC